GTGAACAGTTGTACGTCATTTAACCAAACTCATATCTCTGGTTCTCACAAATAGATAGCATTTGTTAGATTTGATGAGTCATGTTAACCCTTTATCTCCCGGAGGTGATTGACATGTAAATTCTCCCAATAATATGCATACATTATCCAGAAAAAAGGTAAAGAGAATACTCAAACTTATCAGGTGGAAGTTGCTATCTTGATCTAACACCGAAGTCTCCTAACTCATTTACAAGGAACTTTGAAGAAATTAGAGAGGAGAATTAACAATTTGATCTTGGGAGTTAAAGGGTTAACAGTTGAGAGAGGAGACACTTTAAAATTCGTAAACGAGGCTTCGTGATTTAAACTGAATCAAACCTAGTATTTCGTGATTTGATAAGTTCTCAGAGAATGTGATCTATTGCACGTTCAAAATTGACTTTGCCCTCTGTGTTTCAGAAAACGGATTACCTTTAAGTCGAAATAATGATAAAAAAACAGAGAAAATCAAAATATTTGTCTATCACACAATTAAAAGCGCCCACAGGAAAAGAGGATGATAGCGAACTGGATTAACATGGATTAAAGATTAAAATTTATTTTGCTCTTTTTAAAAAAGCGTGACATTCGTGACATTTGAGCTAAGCTTAGCATTCAAACATCCGCCTTCTTCAGTTAAAATCACGACAAACGAACAAGCTGCTCACGCAAGATTTGTTATATTCAAACAAGTTTCAGGACCTTGCAAAGTAAAGAGAACATAAATGTAGGATCACTTAAATTTTGACAAAGAATGTTGAAGATTTGTTAAAGTTTCCCAGTTTCTTTACGCTGGATACGCTCTCTGAAGAGACACTATTCGAAGGTGGAAGGAACACGTGATCAGGACCTTGGAGTTGACTTGTTGACAAAGCAAAATGGAACCAACAGTAAAATGGCACGAAGCCCAAATTTAAGCAGACTTTTGTCCCTTTTCTTGCGGAGATATTTCTCCGTTTCAGCTGCAGTATCACATGGGGATTAACAAGATCATGCAACGAGCCACGAAAGCGTTCAATTTTCAGTTGCGTGATTTGGTCCAGCTATCGTGATCTATATAGCTACTATATAGCTATTTTAGGTATTATTGCAAAGTTTTGTCATAATGTGAAATTTCATTACAAAAGAACTAACAAAGTTTGAAACAATGAGGACAAAAGAGATATTTCTAGTTAATCTTCATAATCCCTTGCGACTTAAGTTTCAATTGGTTGCTTCAGTGAATTTTGTTCTTTGTTGCTAAAACTCACGCATATTCAAGGCTCTCTTTAAGAAACCCACATGAAAACATTAGGCACATGGATGATTTTTCAGATCTTTACCCTGCTCATAAAAGTTCAATAAACTTTTTTGACAGGGCCACGTGAAGGTTGGACTGTCTTGCTAAGTTCAGTTAATCTACAATTTTATCCCAGAATTTTTTACTTGAACATTCCGGTTCAATCTTCTCGATCGCCCGTTCAATTCAGTTACCTCTTTAAGGTCCTAATACCTCTGCCTGGTAGTCTTATTTCAAATATTTCCTTCTTTATGAAAGCAGGTTTTTCTGTCACAAAATAATTTACCAAAGCGTTGCAGAAATCAAAGTCCTCGCACAAGTCTAAAGTATGAAATGTTGAGAGGAGAGAAGTACTCGGATCTCACTTCTCAATCGCATTTGAATATACATGTCAACTCTTTAACTTTAACAAATCAGTCTGAACTCTGATACGAATATACAGAAATAGCGTTAATACTTCTGTACGATATTGCAAGCTAATATAGTTTGATAATCTCTTGTGGTAAAAGCCAAACAATTTTTAAAATATTTTGACCCGTTTTTACAAATAAGTTTTCTCATTTTCCGCTGAGCGCCGCCTAAATTCAATTACACACAGTTCAAAGTAACCCACACAGGACGTAGAGTTTCAAGAGACGTGATAATTTTCTCCGTATGTTTCCCACCCACGATCCTGCCAATTTCCTTTGTGGAGGATTACGAGACAGGAAACAATTAACAAAACTTGAATGGCTGTAATACGGATATCCATGTTTGCATTAATTTTTAACAGTATAAGAGTTCTGACTTCTGGAGAGACTAAAGCAGTCATTAGCAGTCTCAAAATAGTTACAAACGCCTGTTTTCAGACAGACAGGGTGGGTTAAAGTGCGAGTGTATCTGTTTTTCAGGAAAGAGGAGAAAAGAGGCTCAGAGATTGTTGAAATACCGAAACACAAAGGAACTTCAAGAGCCTTCACTCAACTGTATTAAACACTACCCTACAAGGTTGGTAACACGTGTCTTTGGTTTATGGGATTTTGCACGATTTGCTTTTAACGTAAACAGAGGTGGACTATCATATCTCTATAGTTAAAGATCTTTGCTTCTCGTAATCGAACGCTTTTGATATGTAAAACAACCCAAAAAGTCAAAAAAATATTCAGAGAATGCAAATGATTGCGTTAGCTTTCATCGAGTGGTTCAATTTTATCAGTCGGCCAACGCTTTTGTCCAAACTTGCACATGCGAAAAGATCCTTCTCTTGGCAAAATTCCCTAGTTTTATTATTTACCCTTTCATGTAAACTGATATATAGTTACATTGATACATTGCTCACTGCTGTGAGATTGCTATCATTACTGATTTCATATGGACCAAAACACACTAAAATAACATTCCAGTAATTTGACAAATTATTCAAAGCCTGTTCCAATGGTCACCCTCTTAACATCCGTTGAAGACTAAATATCACAATCGAAATTTATTCAACCGCATACGAGCACGCGGGCATTGCAGTCTGATAACTTCAAGGTGAGCTGAACTCAAAAGCTTTTTGTCCGTCAAGTCCATAACTGGCGTCTTGGTCACTTAATCGCGCTTACGGCTGAGGTTTAAAACTCTGTAAGTAATGTCTAATCTTAAGTAATTACCGTTACTTTTTCCCAAAGTTTATATTCAAAACATGAATTCGGCGGTCATTTCAAATTGTATCAAATGATCAACAAGGGATAAGTGCGATTCGATTTAATTGTACCAAGGCGAGAGAGCCACGGTTGAGTAAAAATGCTTAGCCTGATGGTTTTGCGCAAGAAGGAACTATATGAGGCAGGCAGTTTAACAGATTTACAAGCCTGATATCATCTATATGGGCTGCTTAGCTTCTGAATTGTGTTTTTATGCTCTATTTGCCCATAAGTAGTCGATTTATTGAGTGATTGGGGTTATTTATCCTTCCTGCGATCGATTTAAGTGCTTTCGCATTCATTAAAAGACCCTACAACTGCACACACGTGAGCAGCCACCTCAGTCTTCTCGCTGAATACCATCGCAGCTTAGCACGGGCATAAAACAAATCTTGAGCGGCTCAAGATCTTCTTGTATACTGGCATCCCGCTGGATTCCTATCATTTTTGGAAAATATGGCGTCAATGAGAAAATATGGATAGTAAGGCAGGTGCTAATGAAAAATGAGTTTTACCTGGATTAAAAAAACGCATGAATTTGCATGGTACGAATTATTTTATCGCCTAAAGGTGAATTCCTTTAGCCATGCAAAAAGCTATTGCTGGTGAAATGGGTCTAGCAGCGAATATCATCCACTGAGCCAGTTATTCAAAGAATCAAAGTATCGACGAAGTCATTACGTAACGGAACTAGCTCTGACAATGAGAACCACTGACCCCATTATTTCGACACTCTGTGGTCAGGATAATAACAACATTATTATAATGACTGATGAAACCTACCATTAGAGTGCATAATTATCGAAATGTTACTAAATATAAGTTCTTGAGACGTAATAAGTACTTAAAGTTGTATAATGGGTGATGTTTTTTATGAATAAAGGGAGGGAGTTTCTATAGAAACTGTGATGCTGGCGTCGGTGTGGGGTAATTTAAGATAATTTGTTTTCATCAACTGAGTTGTCAATGTAAATTGGCCACCGTAAAGAGTTTCTAAAGCTAACGTTTCCTGCGTCAACCCTTCGTCAGCCGTCAGCATTAGCTCATGTTCTATAATATACGAAAAGTCTTGATGTTCCTCAGTTTCCTGGACTGGTTCTTGATGAGCAAAAATGAAAGTGGCCGGCCCTCTAGACCTCTTTTCATCACGGCAATTCTCTGAAAAAAACCATTGGTTTGATGCCAGCAGATGAACGCAAAATTTCGAACTTTTTTAATAAATGTTTCACATCGTTTAATAAATGTTTTATTAATATGAAACTATCTATTTGGGGTGGAAACTTTCCGTTAGTGATATAATTTACGATTCAATGCGTTCTGTTAGAAAATTCCGGTCTGGTTTCGCGGAGGTCGTTTATCAACAGCTCCAACAGTTTTTGGCTTTAAGTCAAGTTTTATCCTTTCTAGTAATGAGAGAAACATGAGAACCGCTGTGATAAAAAAAGTATTATAGAGTAATTCCATATGATTTAGATTTGGTGCAATTGTAGACGTTAAGAGATTTTAAGACACACACTAGGCACCATGGAGGTAATACACCGTGGCTTTGAGGGGGTGTTTATTAATTATTGCCCAACGGATTTTCCAGTGTTTAGTGAAAAACAAAGACTTACGGTTCGTATAAAGATCAAGCTTTGGGGAACATAATAGACACAACCACTTGGGAGGGGAGGGTAGGGCTCCTTGAAGCTTGAACCCCATAGCGTTGTTTGACTCAAGGGGATGTAGAAACTAGTGGATTTGTTTTGTCTTTGACACAATAAATGATTGTCACGCGGTCTTAATCTTGATAAAATCCAACTACAAAAGACTGTGTGTCTGTTCACGTGTATCTGTTATATCCATGATCGGTTATGCATAAATCACATATCAGTTGCTCATTGGTGGCAAATATTACATTAACGCAAATGTTATATTGTCATTGAACAACAAGGCGCACGCTGAGCGAAATAGAGTCTTTCAGGAAGTGATCCAGGAAATGGCTTAATCGCCTGGCGAGATTCATTGAACAGTGTGCATAGGATTAATTATGATACTTTTTTGACGGTGTTTTTACGTACTTTAGCTGCGTACTTTGTTCCGTTGTCTAATTAGCTTTGCAAAGTAGTGCGCTCGGCTTGTATATTCGGAGAAAGCACTTTATAATCTACTTTTAGGCTATTGTGCTGTTTTGAGTCTGTTTATCATTGACTGCGTACTTTTATTGTGCGCCTAATCCATGCAAATAAGTTTTATCCAAGCAGTGGAGGTTTTACTTAGATCTGTGGTAAAAAGTGGTTTCTAGGTTAAAGTTAAACCGCGAGTTTTATATGATTTTCGTGTGCTGAAACTCATCATAAGAAACTTGAAGCTCTTCTCCAGACAAACTGACCAAATTGCCCTCGTCACGCCCGACCCATTCGGCCCGCGGGAGTACTCAGAGTCAGTCTCCGTTTTCTCGCACAGTCGTTTAGTGTAAACCTCGTGGACTTCTGCTTCTGGCTATCGACATTTTCAGCGCGGAGGATTCTAAATCAAAATCAGTGAGTCTCTTGTTTTTCAAAGCATCTTTCGTTTGTCATGGCTTTTCGTTTTCGCCCCGAATACATGAAAACGATTTACCCACATCTGATTTGATTGTCTCGATTGCGCGACGGTTTTTCTTAATTAGAATAACTAGCCAAGTGTCTTATTCTTTATTCTGATCAGTAATTACTGTGTATTGTAAATAGATAGCTGTACTAATACTACTGTAAACTTATGCTTCCTTATCTGTTTGAACAAGGCTTGTGTTCTGCTCAAAACACTGATTGTGCGCGATTGATTCAGTGTCACACAAACAAAAACAGTTGATGTGATTCTCAGACATATTTTGTCTCTGCTTACGCAGTGAATCAATCTGGAGACGCCACCCCTCGGTCTGAATCAGTGCCGGGCCTTTTTAGAAATACTAAGAGTCTTGAAGGTATTTTTTGATTGAAAAAAAAGTTTTCCGCGATACATGCAGGCTTTTAACTTTCCTTTATGGCGCTCAACAGTAGCTCGAAAAAGCAGCCGAATGACACAAAAAACAGATTCAGACAATTCATATGTTTAAAGGCGATATTTTTGTACCAAAACCCAATGAACATTTTCTCAGTCGTCGAAAAAAACAGTAATCATTTTAGCGCATTCCTAAGCATATGGAAGAGTTTGCAATCGCGGGAATGTAAAAATAAAGAGTTCGAGGCTACGTGAAGGTCTTTTAAGTGGTGTACTGTAGAAGGGTGGGTCTATAGGGTTGCTGTGTGAGGCTTAACACTTACATAAGTATAGTATTCAACCACTTTAACGAGTGACAAGTGTTATCCGAAATATGGCGCAATTGTTTTATTCGACCTGTAAGGACGTTAGAATTAAACCACGTACCCTCTTTGTGAAGTATTCATTTGTTATTTACCTTTGACTAAGCGGTTCATTGAGCTGTCAGCTTTGGCCAAATCATTTTGCACAGCAGGGGGCAAGGTTCTGACACGTGAGTCCTCTAATACAAAGGTTTTACAGTTTTCCCGTTCTCATGTTCAAAAGCCATTACTCCAAAGAGAACCTTTGAATTGTTAACTAAATGGTCCCTGTTTATCTTTTATAGATAAATCGAGCAGAAATATGGCGTTGGAGTTAATAGTTCTTGCAGCGCTGGTCATAACCGCTGCCCTCTTATACAGTGTACTTTCACATCGAATGGAGAACCCAAAACTCCCTCCTGGTCCAGTTCCTCTCCCAATTATTGGCAACATGCTTCAAATGGGAACAAAACCGCATCTTGGCCTAACGAAACTTGCAAAGAAGTTCGGCAAGATATTTCGACTTACTGTCGGGATTCATCGGATAGTGGTTGTGAACACCATCGATGTTGCTCGTGAAGCACTCGTAAAGAAGGCCAACGACTTTGCAGGCCGACCGCGACTTTACACGGCGGATCTCATTTCCCGAGGAGGCAAAGACATTGCATTTAGTGACTTTACCCCCACATGGAAATTGCAGAGAAAAATAGCGCATTCCGCGCTGAAAATGTTTGGGCAAGGTATCAAGCCCATTGAGGAGAAAGCATGTCAGGAGATTAACGAACTTATCAAACGGTTTGAGTCGGTCGAAGGGCGCGCGCACGACCCTCAACATGACATCATCTTGGCTGTGATAAACATCATCTGCGCATTCGTGTTCGGTTCGCGCTATGATTTGGATGATCCTGAGTTCTACACCATTCTCCACTACAACGAGCAGTTTGTTCAAGGATTCAGAGCTGGAAATCTGGTGGATTATTTTCCGTGGTTACGCCACTTTCCTAGTAAGGGAGTAACACTCATCAAACAGGCTGTCAAAGACCGCGACACCATCTTACAGAGGAAGTTTGACGAGCATAAGAGCACGTATCAAGATTGCGTGACGCGTGACCTCACTGATGCCTTAATTAAAGCCATGCACGAGTCTCATGCTGAAAATCCCGGAAGGTCATTACCAATATCCGAAGATCACGTGGTTTTAACCATGAACGATATCTTCAGCGCAGGCCTAGAGACCACCTCCACATGCGTGCTGTGGGCGCTTGCGTATTTAGCTCTGAATCCTAAAGTGCAAGAGAAAATCCATCAAGAGTTGGATGACGTAATAGGGAGGGAACGCCTGCCAGAAATGTCAGATAAGCCAAACTTGCCATATTTGGAGGCTACTATATATGAGGTGTTGCGTTACAGTTCTCTGGTCCCGTTACTGTTCCCACATTCAACAACAACTGATACGAATCTCAATGGATTTGACATTCCTCAGAACACAATTGTGCTCTTCAATGTCTGGGCTATGCATCACGATGAAAGGGAATGGGACAAGCCACATGTATTTGATCCTTCACGTTTTCTAGATGACGATGGCAAACTTATTTGCCCTGGAACTCTAAGTTATCTGCCCTTTTCGGCCGGACGACGCGTGTGTCTGGCCGAATCACTCGGGAAAATTCAACTTTTCCTGTTTATTTCTCACTTATTACACAAGTTTCGCTTTAGTGTTCCACACGACTCAAAGGCCCCGGATTTGGAAGGAATCTTTGGTGCCAGTTTATGTCCCAAGCCTTACAGTCTATGCATTGAGAGACGCTACTAGACTGGCACCATCTGAACATGAATCGACGTGAACCGAAGTGAACATTCTGGTTATAAATTCAGATGGTTCCATTTATCGCCTGAATATCAATGATACATCGCTTGATCGGTAACAGACAATCGGTGTTAGCCGGGAAAGATTGACTATTTGTCACGGTATTTACATATCTGAAAGTGACACAATTGATACGTCAAGTAACGCAAATTTTCACAATACGAGTCCAGATGGATCTAAATAACGAACATCTCTGATCGAATACTTGATCAGTCGGAACTAAAAATCAATGCAGAACATAGATTAAACTTTTGTGACTGTCTATTTATTAACCTCGAATGAGAAAAAAGGGAAAGAATTCCTCTAAAAGTTTTCAAGTAATTTATTACCAGAATAGCATAATAACCAAACACATGACAAATATAATTCATGTATATCGTGATGCCAAATTTTGGAAAATTTTCAGGACGAATTGGGTTTTTCAATGATAGAAAACAAGAAAACTGCGTGTAAACTGACCAATACAGTCATGTATTCAAGTAGACAAGCATCAAACTTTAAAATTGTATTCCTATAAAACAAAGAAAGTTTGATTGCAAAGTAAGAATGAATATATATTCCAATAATTTATCTCAACAATTCAGTACGCCAAGAAATTAGTAACATAATCTTTTGAATCCTTCCTCATTTCATTGAATTTTGGTAAATTTCTTCGTCCCAATTGACATTTTCATAAATGTAACAGTGTTGTAGTTTTGTATTTTAAAAGAATCTGACGGATAAAAGGTACTTCTTTAATTATGTAAAGGTTCCAAGTTATTATAGCCACATCAAGTGAAGACTTATTGTTGGTTACTTTTTAAACACTCTGCTGAAAATCACTGACTTCCTTATACCAGTTCATGACATAGTGAGGCATTGTACAAAGAGTGCAGTCCAAGTGAGTTTAAATTCCTTGAGGACAAAAGTAACTGAAATAAACTTTTTATATATGTTCAATATCTATTTGTTTGATCGCCTGAAAAAAACATGGGGTTGAAGATTGTCGCCAAGAAGGAATGCAGAGAAAAGACAAGGAGTCCAGAAATGCTCTTCATCCCATGCGGGGGAGGGGATGGGAGCTAAGCTAGGGGCTAAACCATTTTCTCTCCCAAGTGTGATGAGAAGAAAAATATCAAGGAGACTTGCAATCATAAGAAATGTTCTTTACATAGTATGGAGAAGCATTATCCAAGTCTTGAGAGTGAAAAGGTTAAGAGCAAGAGACATCAGTTTTGTAGATAAAAAGAGGCTAAGTTTGCATTTGAACCAATTGTTCTATTCTGCCAAAACTCATCTTGTTTTCTGTTGCATGAAGGGACTGGGAGTGTGGTAATTCCCCTTTGATAGGATGACAGTCCACCATTTTGTCACCCTTCCCAGACAGTTAACCCTTTAACTTTCATGAATGAGCAAGACAGAATTTCTCCTTACGATATCAACACAATATCAACCAGACAAGTGATGAGAATAAAGAAAAACATCAATTTAAGGATTATAAGTTGATCCAAGACTAAATTATCTGAACTAACATCATAAGAATTATATGGTTGACAGTAAGGAGAATTACAAATTTGATCTGGGAGTTAAAGGGTTAAATAAAACCAATTTACATTCCTGACTCCAAGGCAGAGAGAGGCCCGGTGAGAGTGAAGTGCATTGCACAAGAACACAACATAATGACACTGGCCAGGTTTTAAAACTGGATCTCTCAACCTGGGGGGTCTGGGACTTGGACTGGTGCAGAAACTAATGTCAATACTGTGGCCCCTGGGGTAAGGATGATGTAAAGGATGAAGGGTGGGGACTGAAGGTTGATCTCATAGAGTAATGCTCTAAAATATTCCAGGGTTGAATTGTTCCAAGCACAATTGAGCTAGCCAAGGGTTAACCAACAAATTTTTATTAGTTTTGTGGCTTTGCAGACAGTTTTAATTGTTTATATTTTTCCTTCAGTTTTGTCTCATGCTAAGGGAAAACCCCTTTAAGTATATGCCCTGTGAGCATTTTATTTCAAGAGGAGTCAAAGAAAAAATATTGTAATAATTTTGATCCTGAATTATTGCTAAACACCTTTTGTACATGGTCCAGAACATTCTAGAATGTTTCACTGTTTACCTGTTTGGAGTTATTCATGCATACTTATTTATGAAGAGGATTTTATCTGGTCATTTAGAACATTCTGGATTGTTGAGCACATCTAGGTATGTGGAGTGCATATTAAACTGTTGTTTTTCTTTTGGTAAGTTGTTAATAAAGCTGTTTGTTGCATTAAATTACAAGTGGCGACTCAGAGCTTTCACTGAGTTTTGAAGGAGCCATTACACAGGAGATATCACCTGTAGCAGTATGATACTTGCCTAGGTGTAACCAAAGCAAATGACATCTTCACTTACAACTCCGGGTGTGCTCAGCCATAACAACATTACAGGTTTTGGTGCTTAATGACAGCCCTGACTACTATAAATATATCCCTTGACCTCTTCATATAAGGGTGTTCAACAGGGCTGGCCTGATTTTGTAAAATCTCACCCTGCTGCTCTTTATTTGTACATCATATAAGAAGGTGGACAAACCCACATAACTCCTTCAAAACCAGTGTATTATTCTCTATCATAAGTCCTATCTGTATATACAGTATGCAAAATCAATTATAAATAATAATATTTTGTGTTCAAACTTTTTAGATTCTTGCAACCATTAAATACATCTGGATGTTCTTCTGGAGTTCTATCTTTTGGAAATTTAAACCACTCTCTGCCAAACTGAGACACTAATTCATCTTTCTAGTTGTTCTGAACTGAAATTACAAACCCTTCAAATAGTAATCTCTTCAAAGGATATACATATCTTAACACAAGGGGGAAGACAAAGATGTCAATTGCATCCGTGTGCAATACAATAATTACAACAGCTATTCTATCTCATAGTCTTGGGTTCCATAATGTTTCGTATAAACCAACTATTTCATGTTTGTGAAAACATGAAATAGTTACTTGGAAACGCAGGATCACTAATTGAATTTAGAAAAAAAATTGTCGGTGGTGAATCCTTCGCTGCAACTTGAAAAAATTTGACATAGTCATCTAAACGCATTTGAATATCACTATATACATCCCAAGGTATAAATCCTTGATGTCTTGCAGCTTCCAGTAAAGTCTCATGTGAAATCCAGTTAAAGATATTATGCTTTTGTGCGAAGAGGTTGAAAATGCAAAACATTCTTGTCATGACAAGTTGTCCTTGTCGATACAGAACTTAAGACTAATTACGTACATCAGGACATTGAAGATGACCAACTATCATGTCGCATTTTCCTCCAAGTTGTGTGTATAACTTCAGGCACATCTCACCCCTGCCAGTCATATGTTTACTAGTAGCAATGGTTTTTCGTTCGATTGACATAAAACGGTATATCGACTTCCATACTATTGTAACGATATCTCGTTGAAAAAGACAATATCGAGTCTATTTGGAAGACTGTTACCTCTAGTAGACATAACATGGTTACTATCAAAACGAATAAATTAAATATCGCAGCTTTACGCACCGTGGGGTGCGCACAGTGTAAGTGTCACATGACTCCCTCGCCAGCGTGAGCTCTACTTTACGGAATCACGCAAATCATCAGCCGAAATTATTTGCATAATTTTCAAAGAGTATTTTTCAGTCAATTAATCATTTACAACAAACTATTGTGTAGATGGCCAACTCCCACTGACCTTTCCCTAGTCTTCTTTTAGCAAAGGTCGGATAAGATGTGAAATGTTAGAGAGATAATGTGCGACGTGTCTATTAAAATATATTTCTTTTGCAACTGATCACCTAATAACTTCAACTTCCTCGAATTTTACACGACCCTAATGTGGTTTTCCGCGCTCTATTCAATTGACGCAAATGAGTAGAAAAGTTGGAGTTATGCTGTGTAAGATTTGCTTTACCTCAGAAAAATACCAAGGATGCGATGGGGGAATAGAGATTTCGGGAGATGAAACTTTTTTCAGTTCATTTTTATTTTTTACGCGATACTCCCATATTCGTATTTTTCCTTGATAATTTACTTGGATTTTTTTGGTGGTACAAAGAACATATTTAACACGAAACAGAAGCACATTGTCGTTCTGCAGGTGGTTGCAGGTGGAAAACCATCCCGGGGCGACACATTATCATATTACTCTCGGCCATACAAATCAAAGATGGCACCTTCTTCGATTGAGGACAGCCAATAATAAAACACATGCAACACTGCTATTGCTACTGGCCGACAGCTGTTGGTGATAAGTTACTGATATCAACCAACAGTATCAGGAAAAACCTAGAGGTCTTAGAGTCTGTGTTACGAATATGGAAAATATCAAAAAAATTAATTATATTATATTTTGAATAATTATATTGTTATTATTATTATTATTATTATTATTATTATTATTATTATTATCATTATTGTTTTTCATACGATTATCTTCCATTGCCGGCGATGTGTGCGTGCTTCTCTTTGTTTTTTCCTTGTTGTTCAGTGAACAGCTAACTAAGAAATCTCATGACTGACCAAGACAGAATTTCTCATTACAATATCCTTACAATATCAAGCAGAAAAGTGATGAAAATAAAGAAAAATATAAATTAGGGGATTATTAATAAATGCAAAACCAAATTCTCGGAACTAAAAACCATACGAATTGTAAGGAAGCCAGTAAGGAGAATTACTAATGAGATCTTGAGAGTGGAAAGGTTAATGGATTATTTGTCGAGCAAGCTGCCCATTTCACAAGCAATCCGTTGAACTTTTAGGCAACCATTAGCGAAGGAAGGGTGACATGGTGAGAGATTAAACTTATTTTATTTAATTCTCCTCCTCAGGGACTTTGGAAGCGTACAACACATGCCTAACTTTCTGATATAACATTTAAAGTTAATAACTTTTTCAAGTAACATAGAAAATTGATCTTTTGAATTTTATAGCCTAGGAAACGAAAATTACAAATAAATTTATCCGAAGCGATTACTTGCAATAATTTGAATGAGCCGTTGCCACATATTTCGTCCTTGATAGTCCGCTTATTTACTAAAGCTTCATAGTGCGACAAAAAGTTGTCATTTGGGAAGCAACAAAATTGACACAGCTTGTTTTTTTGTTCCGTAGTGAAGGAAAACTTCTTTACGCGCCTACACGCTTAGTGATGGAGGTTCATCATTGGGGAACAATTGTATTTAGTGCTTCTTCCACTGAGCTAACATCACCAATTACGATGTTGTACCATTAAAATTTTTATAACCTAGAGCTACAAATTTTCAATTCGAACAAGCGAGTTATATCTATCTCTCAGTCGATTTACCGCAGCCATTTCTTTTAAAAATGTTTTTGTTACTTGTCATGGCGAACATCTGATGTAATATGCCAACTACGGTATATTTATGTAGACGAAAAAACAATCTAGGTCTCTAAGTTATGGAAATACCCCGTCAACATACTTTACAAATTAAACATAACTGCCTCGTTTAAATAGAATTGTTTCCTGATATCGATTTTGGACTAAAAGTGAACAGTTTAGTTTAATCTTAAATTGATGTCTGCTGCACATAATGGGGTCCTGATTAAAATAAAATGGAATGCCTAATGCACTCGTTTTGGAGTGATAATATGAATGAAAAACAAAAACAATACCAGAGTGCTGTTAAAAAGAAACATTGCCGAATGGTTCCAATCGCGAAAAACCATGAAGTCCGTACCAGAACAACGACAAAAGCTGTAAGCTTTAAAGCATTTATCGATGTTATCAGCAGCTTTGACAAGCCGAAGTTTTTTGTAAGAGAATAGTTTTTTTGAGGTAGCATTGAATCTAATATCTAGATGGCAAATTGATAAAAACATTTCTTTCGATCGCAGTTTGTCATATTAATTCGGAACGAACTGTATTTCTGCAAACACACCATTCAGTTGATTGTCAAGTCATCATGTAAATTTTACTTTGACATGGTAAATCCTCAAATCAATAATGGTTTGCGAATATGCGATTTCAGTTACTTTAGGTTAGTTTTAGCGAAATAAAATACCTTGGAAAGTACTTCAACGCAGTTTTACGTCGTCGAAAATATTTTATTTGCGTTACCGTAAACATTTGCCCTCATGATAGTTGCTACGTTTACTGAACGCTAAAAAGCCTTAGACTTTTGGATAGAAAATGATCTCTGTGGACTTTTATCCTGAATGATCACGCTTCGACTCGCTTTTTCTAGAGGTTTCGCTCTTTTATCTCGAACGACGTTAAAAGAATCTGAAATATTGACGCTTTTGTGGCGACATTTCTGAATTTTTACTCGAAAACGGCTTTTTGGCAGCATCCTTGTTCGAGTACGTTGTTGTTCATAGTCTTGACAGCGAGTAGAAAGAACCACGTTTGCAGATGTTCCGCGTCTGTTCCCGTCTGTAACTACATTTTTAATCGTAAAACTCTTCCTCAACGGAGTATACTGAATTCGTACATTGTTTTTTTCCATTCCGGTAACTTCCTTCACCATGTTTCGATTAAACAAGTTAGCGCTTTTATTTTCTCCACGGGGTTGATTTCCTATCAGTGAAGTGTTTTTTCCTTCGTCACGTATTTCATCCGACGAACTTCTGGTTGTCGGCGTGCATTGGGAAGTATTCTTGCCAAAATAGCTGAATTTAATTTCCAGCGAAGAAGTTCTCCGCGGTTGCTTTTCCTTGTCCTCAGAATTCTCCCTGTCCAAGCTATTCGCTTTCCTCCATTCAGTGCTCAATGAAGTGTGAAGACATGAAATGTATCTGGCTTGCGACTGGCTTCCTTTTTCACTTTTCGGCGTCTGGTTCCTTTTTTTTCCCGGAGCAGTTGTGACAGCAGGAACTCTAGCTGATACCGGCTTCGCCGACGCTACAGCAATATCTTTATCGATGCTTGGTAATACCACAATCTTGGGAATCTTTTCTTTCGGAATAACAGACAATGCACTCACATAGTTTCTCCTTTGATCGCGAAACGAATGATTAGTTACCGGGGACATAATTTTCGGTTGTACAGATGACTTTGTGTAAGCCGCGCGAGGAGCACTCGAAGTTAGCGAGCACTTTGCAAACGCACTACTCATCGATGGGGAAAAATTGTCATTTGTGGTCTTCGTTGGAACACTTCTCCCGAGTTTCGTCGTAGAAACGTGGTAAAACCCTTTCTGAACGTTCATCGGGAAGAGCTAGCGGATAATATTATTTTAGAGTACGTGTTTAGTGTGGTTGATCCGATCGAGTTGTTCAAATAGGTCGGGTTCTTACTTTGGTGTCCTTTGATGTTCAATTGTTGTGTCTCCCCGGTTTGACGCACGTTAATTTATGTACAGCGGTCGTAACTTTAAGTTGACAGGTTGTTTCACGATCACAGCATAATTATTGAATACAATTTTGGCCTTTATGTAGAGAAAATCCAAATTTTTGCTGAGCGCTGGGGAGCAGGGAAGACATATTCTTTGTCAAGACAGTCTTGGGTGTTATTTTCGACACCATTTCGAATCCTTTCCCTGAACTCATTAACCAAATGGACGTATTTCAGCTCAAATAAGCCAAGGGATTTTGTTCTTATGAAAGAATATACCATTATGATATTGGTCTGCGTGTGAAATTTGCATTTTTTTTCGAGAGGCAAATTGCAACCTTTATTTTTCTCAATTATCATCAAAACATAAACGCACGCGTCGAATTGATTATCAATCGGCGTTTTAAATGACGTAAGTGAATCTTCTGGTTTATCGTTCTCCAATTTAACGAGACAAATGTTCTTGTTTTTACGTTCTAATAACGACTTCGCATCTTCTAGACAAACTCACGCTTCAGTAAGGTCGTAATTAAAGATAATGAGAGTGAAAACGCAAAAAAAAAAAAAAAAAAAAAATGCAGTCGCAAGCTTACGATAGAAAATTCTCGCAGTAATAGTTCATTCATAACAGCGCATTTCTTTGCCATTAATAATGCTTTTAAAAGTTATAGTCCAGCTGAAAAGTGATGAGAAAAATTAAATGGAAATTAAAGAAGCCGCAGTCGTCAAAGAAACTGAGCTCGAGGTTTCTTTTAAAACTAAAACTCAGCCCCAATCCCTTCACTGATCCTGAAATCATTATTACATCATTTATATAAGAAATTTTCATACATCTTTATATACTGAAAAAAAATTGATATATCTAAAAGAAACGGTAAATGATTTATTTAACCATAAAAATGGGGTTATCCCGCGAACATATTTCCCCCTACTGACCTTCGATCGATACAACGAGGAGGAGTGGGCGGGAAACAAAATACCTGTTAGCTGATTCTTCCTTTCTAGTTTTTACCAGCAAACTGGTTCGACAAATTGCATACTTGGCCCCGACTAGTATTACTGAAATTCTTTGAAAACAGACAAAAATCTGCTTTCGATCAACAAATAATTAGATTCTGGCAACGAAGAGGAGGGAAATTTTTAGCCTCGCATGACTATGGGCTTAGAATTGTGAAGTATTAGGTTCCAACTGAATGGCAGCGGAGAAAAAAGAGGCCATCTTAGCCTGAGCAAGCTAACGTCTTTTGTTTGGGAGGAAAATGCAGCGAAGTGTAGAGAAATTCAAACGGTTCTTGAACCACACAGACAGAAAAATAACGATTCCCTGAGTGTGAAAGTGGCGATTCGTTGTTGAAAATTTTCCGGTTAGTTCATCTGTTTATCTAAAATTCACTGAATACCCTTGTCAGCCTACACGCTTCATGGGTTTATTTGTCTCTTTATTTTCATCCGTTTAACATTCCATAACGTAATTTTTCTTTCCGCTTTGGTAAACTAAAAGCAAAATGCTATCATATTGCAGCAGGCTTAGGTAAAAATGGAGAAAAAGGAGCTGAAAATCGCTCGAAATTTATGGCTTTAAAATTCAATGAAATCAAGAGGTCTTGTAGATCAGTTGACTGTTTTGAATCTGGAATGTCTTCATCAGATTTTGTTTTCATATATTTCTGAAGAGAAGGACTTCTGTCTTTGTTGATATTTTAAGATGAGTTCAAGCGTGTAAGCTGTTTGATTATTTTCGGTCAAGGAGCATAAAGTTTAGGTTCTGTTAAAATGATCAATCAATTTTTGGACAGGGAGTGTTCCGCTATCGCTATAAAAGGAAAATTAGAATCCAAAATATTACGAAATATGATGTGATTTAAAATTGTTCAGACCGGTAAATAAGAAAAATAAATGCGAAATTTAAGGACTAATTTGCTGATATTTATTTACCATGAAATTATGGAAAAAAACATTTGATTTTTTCCAAGAAAAAAATGATGGCGAATCTCCATCAAAGAATTGCTTTTGACTCTTTGTTCATGAGTTTATCGCTCCATTGATCCATGACCTAAACCTCGCGCTCTGATTGGCTGCTTTGTGACAATAGAAACCAATCCAATTTTAATGAGCCAGTGGGCCATGAAGTAATGATGATTCCTCAACAATGAGCTCATGAACTGTCCAATAAGAGAGCCATGTTGATCAAAAGACCCACACAATCCACCGGCTGTTATGGTTGTACATCATGACGTCATGAAGGAAGAAACAAGCGGCCGTGTGGCCTCTTACCTTGAGGCTCAACAACCTTTAAAAACACTAAACATCATGCGGTGCGAGAAGGAAACTTATCCACTATACGAGAAAAAAGTCGTCGGAAATGTCCAGCCTAAAGAGGAACCAAAAAATGAAGAAAACCGAAAATTTTTGCGTGGCGTTGTCACTTCTCTCATGTATGTTCTGGAACCGATTTTGCCGGACGATGGCGTAAAGGGAGACGGAAAAATCGCTAGCTTATTGTACTTGATTTGTCTAACAACAGCGGGGGTGGTATTTAATCTTTCTAAATGGCTTCAAGATGATTCTAAGGCCGACTCCGGCGTGACAACGGACCACATTGATGGGTTCCTGATCACCTGTATCTGTCCAGCTCTGTTGTGGATCTGTTACATCTTTTGTAAACAAAGCGATCGGAAGACAGTAGACTTCATCACGCCTTCGCCCCACTCACACAGACCTCTGATGGCGGGTGCTTACGTTTTCGGCGCAGGAAGTTGTGTCATGGATCTCCTCCACATAACATTTTATATCGAATGCTCATCCAACTTATCCAGCCTTTTCTTCTCCATTTTCAAGGCTGTGTTTATTTTTGCGCAAATTCTATTTTTAAGAAAGTTTGCCACAGCCACCCTTCATAAATCACCGAGCATTCGACTTGTACTTTTCCATATACTTGGTACCAACGTGTGCCTATGGTTTCGAGCGCTTTTTAGCCATTCGAAAAGCATTTTCAGCGCGCGAAAATCACTTGAAGATCTAAGCACTCGTGAAGAGAACGCTTGCTTTGCAAATCATTACTCCATGAAAAAGATTTGGGAGGCGTCCGAACCTTATTTATATCCATTTACCATGGAGTATTCACTAATCGCGGGTGGCATTTTGTACACCATGTGGAGCGGGATGCGGGATCTTGATCCCGACCCACAAGATATTTATATCTATGACGAGCTGTCTGACTTTAATACGACATCAGATAATCTTAGTGAACGACTAGAAAAATTCGAACATGACCACGGATATGGGACCTGCGAAGCCGCCACACCGTCTAGGGATTCTGTATCAAGTGGCAGATTTTCCAGCCGTTTCTCACTGAACAGAGCCATGTCAAACTCGTCCATATGTCAGTCATGCATCGAGAATCAAGATGCACTTCGCATGCACGCGATCCCCAGCTCGGACCCAGGCCTTTTGATTGGTCTCTTGTTCTCGATCGTTTTGCTACTCGCCGTGGGTTTACTGTGGGTTGACCGAGACTCCCTAAACGCGCTTAAATTTTATTACCTTTACCAAATTATTTTGCTGGTGTTCATGTGCGTGGCCTGCTGGGTAGTATTGAGGTGTTTAATGAATCAAAAATTTACGTGGTACCCGTTTGGTGCAGATGACACTCTCTTGATAGTTTCGTTCACAGGGATGTTTCTCTACGCCGGTTTATGCCTCACAGCTGCCATCGCCGAAATAAGGAATCATCGTTACGCATCGGATTTCTCACTCGCTAAATCAACATTGATTCTGTTCCAAGCCATGCTACAGGCTACTGCTCTTATCAAGGCGCTACGTTTCAGACCGCTCAAGGAACTGGGAGCGAATATAGTCCGACAAGGAACGCTGTTTTTGCTGACCACGAATGTTGCACTGTGGGCGCAGGATTCATTCTTCGAAATGAGGAACTTTGCGACCACACCAGTTCAGACGGTGTTTTACGGTGAGACTTCCTGGAGGGCAATTACCACTTTAGCTTATCCTTTATGTATTTTCTTTCGCTTTCACTCTGCAGCTTGCTTATTTGAAGTGTGGTCTTGCTTTAGAGTTAACAACTTGAGCTAAGATCATGCAAAAATTTTGCAGTCAAGGGAACAAGTACTGGTCGAATTTGTCATGAGAATCTTGGTCTTTCGCTCCCTCTCACTAGAGTACCTCTGTAACCTATAGTTCGGAAAAAGATCGGAAACGTTCGGGAACATTTCGTGTTCAAAATAAGGATAAACTGAGAACAGTGCTTGTTTTTTTGACTGTATTGGGCTTCCAGCTGAGGGAAATTTTCGGTGGTCAATTGAAGGGGGAGTGCATTGATTAGATCTCACCTGTAGCTTAGCCAGCGTTAAAATAGTTTTCCCACTTTTAGATTCAGGAAATTATTTCGTTTATAAACCCTCAAAAATATCAGTATGCTCTTGCGTTTAATTCGACCACGGATACATCAGGAGAGAGATTCTGTTGTTCGCTCAGCTGAATGTTCCCAGCTGATGTAAAAAGTTCCAGTAGTTTTATCATTTGACAGAATTTTTCCCATTTCCGGACTAAAAGTTTTAGCCATGCTAAAAACTTGATTGCATCGCGGGGGGGCTTCGAAGCGAACGGTTCTTCGATGAAAAGTATATTTCCACGTGGTCCACCATCTACTAACGAGCTTGAAGTAAGATTCGGTGAACATTTCTCGCTATTTATTTGCAAAGTCATGGAAAAGGAAAAAAACTGATCCATTTTATAACAAAAAATCTTAAATGAATAGTCATTTTTAGTGTATATAATGTTCATGTATATATTTTTCAGTACATATCATCGGTTGTACAAACCATTTTTATTACCCATTCCGTATGATTCACTCAAATGGATGATTCTTCCTAAGCTCCACGACTCGGGCGAAATAGATGCGCTGTAAAATTGGCGGTTTTGTAGATCAATAACTTTTTTTCGGTAATATCGAGTTTAATGATAATCATTTATATATTATTATTATTATTATTTATATATTATTATGTGGAATTTTTAACCTTCAGTTATTTCTTCCTTACTCATCCATAGTAAGATTTTAATCCACATTCTAAGACTTATTTTCAGCAGACAATACGTATTTACCTTGAGGTAAGACAAGTAAGGTAAGATATTTCAGTAATATTTTTGACAACGAAACAAGTAGTTTTGTAAATAGCCACAAGTAGATGGCAAAATTAATCAGTTTTTCTTGTTTTCCTTGATGGCTTTTCCGTTAGGAATTACCAAAATTTCTTTATTTTTTCTAAAATAATATCGATGGCAGATGACGACATCAATACTCTAACAGTGGTCGACAACATAGAATATTCATTCTTAAATCAATTATTTTTAAGATGGACTAACTGTCGTGATTGTGCCATGTAAGCGATTAACAGACATGCAAAATCACATTTACCGCACGATTAGCGCATAAAAATAAGTGACATCAGACCCGACTGACAACCTAACAGGGAGACTAACGGTGACAATATATGACTTACCACCCGCGGTTGCTAACAGACTTGAGTTATCGCCAAACTGTAAATCGACTGTGTAACGAGGAATAGCCCGGATTATAAGCCGACGATTGACGGATTAACTTTTAATTATAAACAATAATATAAGAACATCTGGATGGCTGTCTGACTGACTGATTCACCAACTGTCTGACTAACTGTCGAACTGTCTGACGCACACTGTCTGACTGACTTTCTGAACTGGCGGACTGGTTGGTCGGCAGACTGGCTGTCAACTGACTTTTCGTTATGTCGATAATGCGCCACCCGAGATACAGACTAACAGATTGACGTTAGGATGACCAACTGAGTGATACGTCTCTAGACTAGAAACTGACTGACTAACTGACTCAGCGTTCACCTCTTCACTTTCACTACCTTACCAGAAAACTCCGTAATTGTTCAGACTGACCGTCCGACAAACCGACAGACAAACACACAGAAAGGCAGAGAGAAAGAGAGACTTAGATAGAAGTTAACCGTCAGACCGGTTACCTACAGCGACAACATTATATTATACATTATGGACAACTTTGCACTTACGTAATGCTACTGTACTGCTGCTCACTGTACTGACAGTAAGACGACATTTGAATTGACTTCATAGCTAAGTTAGTGATTCTACGAAATTCCTCCTGATCTTATGCATTTGTTATCTGTTGGTTCAACAAAATTGAAACTAACTTTCAAGTAAATGGACAAACGCTGCCTTATCGAACGTCACTTAGAAACTGCACGAATTGTTACAACTGCCCAACGGACAACATACAGGCGAATAGACAAAAAAAAACAACCAACCAACCCACAAACAGTCACTCGGATAGACTGTCCGACCAACAGACTGACGGACTGACAGACTTACAGACTTACAGACCGACAGACCGACGGACTGACAGACCGACGGACTAACAGACCGACCGACCAACCGACTGATCGACAGACCGACTAACAGACTGACAGAAACAGAGACAAACAAACAAAGGCAAACAGATAAACAAACAAACAGACAAAAAAATAGACAAAGACAATAACAAAGACAGAAACACAGAGAGTTACTAACTTACAGAAATGGGACAGATTGAGGCAAAAGTCTATCAAGAATTGCTAGAAAAACACTTAGGAACCGAAAGAACAACAGAAAGATACATACAGACTACAACGGCTTGAACTGACAGGCATTTGTAACATTTTGTGGAACTAAAAACAGACAACGAAAAAAAGCATCCAAACGGAAGAAAACAGCCTTACGCAGTTATCAACTTACATACTTTATATCATTCACTAGTATAGTTTTTTCGAATTTTATTACTGAGAATAAAAACGTTTTGAAAGACATTTCATTCTCAACTATTCATGCTCTTTGCCTAAACATGAGTTGCTACGAAACAACTGTTCTGAGAGGACACGTGTAACACCTGACAAACCGGCGGTGACCGATCAACATAGCAATATCTGAGTAATCAGCTAAATAATTGTCTAGGTTATGACGTCGACAGCTATGACTGACTTAGGAAACTGATGGTAAATTCTGACTATCTAACAAAATAGGTAGATAACTGACTAACTTAAGCCAATTGACTTACTGATTGGCTGAATGACGGAATGACTGAATGATTAAATGACTGTGTGAGGTAGTAAGTGAGCGACAGACTGGCTGAATTACTGAATAACTGAATGACGCTATAATAGTAGTTTTGAATGACGGAATGATAGAATAACAGAATGACGACTTGATTGAATGGCGGAATGACTACATAATGGAGTGACGAAACGACCGAATGACTTAATTAATGAACATGCTGACGTGTTTGATCGACTCGGCGACTAAATGAACTGACCTAACAATCAGCCAGTTAATAAGCATAATTAATTGGTGACTGATTCAGTTCTCACTGACTGTCTCCTTCACCCGGACTAACTTGCTGACTTAAGGACTCACAAACTGACTGGTGGACATACAGACTAACTAACTCACTGAAAGAAGGGAGTAAGTTTTCGAAAGAAACCGTGGTGCTGTGTCGGTGGGGAGTATAACGATATAATTTGGATTTGTCAACTGAGTTGATCATGAATGTAAATTGGCCACCGTAAAGAGTTTTAAAGCTGACGTTTCGAGCGTTAGCCCTTTGTCAGAGCGAGAGAAGAAGGACTAACGCTCGAAACGTCAGCTTTGAAACTCTTTACAATCACTGATTAACTAACTGACTGACTCACCTACAGACAGATAAACAGGAGGACGCGCGGCACGGGTAACTAACTGAATGACTGACTGACTGACTGACTGACTGACTGACTGACTGACTAACTGACTGAATGAATGACTCACTAAACCACTAACTCGCTAACTCACTCTCTGACAGACAAACAAACATTGAGATGCATGAAACGACTGACTGACTGCCTGAATAACTAACTATACTGACTAATCAACCGACAGGCACATACAACTTGACTGATCATTTTGAGAGCAGAATAATTACTCAACCAAATTATTGACAGGCTGATAAAATCAAATTACTGGCTCAATTACTGAATGACTAACAAGCTTATGACGGAAAACTCAAATAACAACCATCAATCAGATAATAGGCTGGCTTACTGACCAACTGACACACTCATCGATGGACTGACCGACTGAATTACTGCGTAGTGAGATTCTTATCCAGCGCATTGACTTACAGACTGTCTGTCTCATTCATGAGTTAACGACCAACTTTAAAAAAAGCGAACTAGTTGAATTTAGCTGACTCTATGACCTGGTGAATGACCGATCCTATGGCAAACAGAACGAACAATTAGCTTGTTTATTGAATTCTCGTTGATTACTTTTATCGCTAAATGACTTGCCACTTTGTTGACTAAAAGAAATTAATTTAGAACGACGATTTAATAACATGATGGTTGACTGACTCCCTTTTAACTGACAGAAGGACTTCCGCGTTATGACCGACTGATTTAATGGAGAACTACATTCATTTTCCTAACACCCTGCACACCTAAGAGCGCTTTTCGATTGAGTGTCGTAAAACCAAAACCAAAGTAATTTCAACAGCCATCAGAAGGAAGGAAATACATTGAAGATCCAATGAGAACTCAAATTAAAAAAAAAACCGCCATAAAGCGCAGGAAAACGCAGGCGACCAAGTCGTGGTTATTTTTGTATGTGATTGGCTGAAAGAGCGGCGCGAGTTTTCCGGACCAATCACAGAGCAGAATAAAGCAAAACCAGTACATTTCCGGATTGCTTTCGAAAATCAACTGAAAATTTCTCTATGAACTACGAAACATGACGTACATCAAAGCAAGCTGAATTTACAAATACAAGAAACTGAGTAATCATGTGACTAAACAAATGACATGTTATAAGCATCGTATCAACTGATCAACTCGGAGCAGTAGATCGTTAATTCAAAATACTTCTTAACAGGCTGAAAAACAAAGACGTAAATCACCTAGTAGGTTAGATAGTGCACATGACATACGAGAAACAAACGGAAAGGGGAAGTCACAAACATACCGGCAGCTATCACAAACTGGCAAAGACGACGACAGATAATAAGTAGACAACTGACGACAAAATAGCTTTGTTCTTGACGTCTGTTACACAAGAAACTGACAGAATTTTCGCAAAATCTTCGCTTTGGATGAAAAAACCGACGACTGCAGTTATAAATTGCTGGTATAACTGTTCGTCAAAGTATGCAGAGGAACTATGAGTAATATATAAGCCATGTTTTAGTTTCATGCTGAGGGATTAGCTTATCCGACAAACTCTGTCTTACATGTGACTGGTACAAAACCGCTGTTACTAGCACACTAACTGTAAACTGACTGATCGCTTATCTGATGGAATGACGGACTGATGGAGAGAAGGACCAACGGACTGACACACTGACGGACTGACAGACCCACGGACTGACGGACTGACGGACTGACGGGCTGACGGACTAACGAACTGACGGACTAACGGACTGACAGACTGAAGGGGAAATAGACTGACAGCATAATAGAGAAAAGGAATGACGAACTTAAGGACTGATAAACTTAAGGGGAGATAGACTGATGAACTTACGGACTGACATGGAGAAGGACTGACTGACTAACGTATTAACGAACTGACGGCGAAGAGGCCTTACGAACTCACTGACTGATTGACGGACGGGTATACAGACAAAATCACTGTCGAATTCAAGGACATTGTGACTTATGGACAAAGCAACAGACCGAGAGAAGGATTGACAAACTGAAAAACTGACGGAATGACAAACGAACGTCGACTGACTATCTGCCTTACGGACTCATTGACTAACACACTGACTAATTGATTTAGAGAGACTCAGGACAGACTGTCTCAATATGAGACTGCATAATCAGACTTATTAGTTCTAAAATTGTTAATTCACTGGCCGGGCTGACGATTAACGGACTGACTGCTAGAGAGGGTTGAAGACGCAAACTGATTCAAAGACGAATTTTATTGGTCAAAAGGCGTCTGAAAAGTGACGATTGAAATATTTTCGATTATGTCTAAAGTATTCGAGAGTTTTCATAAGGTCATTACATGAGCTTTTTTCTGTGACTGAAACCGAACAAGGTTAATATCGTATGGCTATAAAGTAGTCGTAAATTTGTAAGAGCGAGCTTGTCTAACATTTTACGACAGCGCGTATGTATTTAGGACAAAGAGCGACAAACATGCATGCTTTGTTACCTTTGTGGATTAATGATGACTAAATTGCTAATGAAAGAGAAAATGTTATAATTTCTAGGATTAAACGTGGACTTATCACAGAAGCACCTATTGTGTGAATATTTTAGCGATTGTTGCTGTAGGTGATCAAGTGGCCGACTTACTGCTTTTTTACCGTTCAAATTACTATATTTTAACTAGCTGTATGACTGATTCGCTGAAGGATTTACTGACTCACAGCACTTGCCTACTCTACTGACTGATTGGCTGATTGACTTACCGGCTGAGTGAGGGAGTGACTGACTGACTGACTGACTGATTGACTGAGTGGGTAGATGACTGATTGACTGACAGACTTTCTGAGTAATCGATTGAATAACGGACTAGATCACTGTTCAGAACGATTTCAACGACCGACTGATTAAAATACAGACTGACTGACAGACTGTCTGACTGACTAACTGACTGTCTGACTAATTAACCAACGGACGGACTAACCGGCTGGCTGGCTGACTTATTGAATAATTGACAGAGTGAGAGTCTGTAAGGCTGGCTGACTGACTGACTGGTGGACGGAACGACTAATTGGCCAATACGCTATCTGACCAACCAAACTTGGAAATGTCGGAAGGCAAAGGCTTAAATAGCAACATAACAATGTGATTTGAGTTTGTTAAACAGAGAGCCTACTAAACATATGATACAAAGAGGCCAGCTGACAGTCGATACAATGACAGAGGAACAGTCGGACAGACGGGTAGACGGATAGACAGATTCACTGATAGACAGACGAAAAGCAGACAGACAGATTTACCGATAGACAGACGAAAAGCAGACAGACAGATTTACCGATAGGCAGACGAAAAGCAGACAAATAGATTTACCGATAGACAGACGAAAAGTGGAAATACAGATTCACCGATAGACAGACGAAAGACAGACAAACAGGCAGGCTCTCTGACCAACTGAACAACTAACGTTGTCTAATATGACTGTCGATTGTAAGTAGATTGCGGAACTGATCAACTGACACGGTAAACTTGGACAGTCTGAAGACTATCTGATAAAATATAGCCAAGATGACACTCGCACACTCTTGACTTTGAAGTCTCTAATTTGTCTAATAATCAACTATTCGACAATTTGACGGCAAAGCAATTCACCGCATCAAGTATCAAGTAACGAAGCGAATCATTACCACTTGATTAAAATCAGATCAAGTAAGTTGTAAACACGTTTTCATCATGTTAATTTAACCTAGAAATTCGACTTTGATGTTGAGAGAGAAACAATAGACAACGATTTTGTAAACTTTGATGTAAGTCAGGTAGATAAATTTCAAAATACAGGCTCAGGAAGTCAGATATAAATCAGTGTTCAATTAGAAAACACCTAACTGATGGACAAAGACATACAGACGAAAAAAAAAAAGACAGAAAAAAAGAAACTTAGTTAAGGCCAACAATCGGAAATAATCGAGTAGAAATGGAGCTGAAACAACGGAAAAGTGGCTGTCGTAGGGAAGCTAACTGATTGACAGACTAAACTGTCAAAAGGACCAAGTCCAACTGATTCCTTATTGGCTGATCCGGCGACTTTATGAATAACTGACTAACTAACTCTCATAATTCATAAAGCCCAAGGCGCGAAATGAAATTTATGGCCCTTTGAAAGTCTGTTTGTAATCAGGATAACGGGTGATATCGAAAGCCATGAGTAAAAGCAACCAAAAAGAAAAAAAATAAAGCAAACCAAAAAAAAACAACTACAACAAAATCAACAAACAAACAAACATAAAACGAACAACAAATCATACAATCAAATATCATGTTTAAAAATGCGATAGGAGTACTAGTACCCAAGAACCTCTTAAATACTTCATTTGTTAATACTATCGACTCTGATTTAAAAGTTAATCAAAAATAACGCAAGCAAATAGAAGCCATACAAAAAGCCTCTTGCTATTAGTAAGCCAGCTGTAAAGACAAATCAAAGAACTGTAAATAGGTTATCATAACTGTACATAGTTTTTAACTTAGGCGTAATAATTCAAGTAGACTGACCTTGATCGAGTTTCACGTCATTTTGACTGCAAGCTTGCTCTTCCACTCTAACTAATCAAACATTTGCTTAATCGCCAGCGTTTTCATTTACGCGCATTTAACCCTTTCCACCCTAACATCAGTATCCATATTCTCCATACTATTCTATGCACATTTGCTCTTGTACTGGTGTGGAGAATTGTTCAACAATCAAAGGTTCTTCGGTTGGCGATAATTTTCTTTATTCTCATGATATTAACGAATGATTCAGCAGTATTGCTGTAAGGAAAGATTGCTTGCTCGTCACTCTCAGGGTGCAGAGGGTTGAAAGACGCAATAAAAAAGTTCTTTAAATCAAGTAATTACTTAGGATTTTATGCTATGAAATATATTATGTTTGATTGGTTACAAGCTGCGAGCTACCCTAATCGAAGCCAAGGATTTTCTCAGAGCGGCAACGAAGTCTTAACTGTTTCACGATGTAATATCACTCATGCTGTACATAAGTAAAATTATGTGATAGATTAATGAACTACTGGTTGTTCTTTGTGTGTCGATCTCTAATATACGTTAACCGAGGTAAGATAGAATTCGTTTGACACTCTACAATAATAGAAACGAAAGAACCGTGGAGTACAAATTGTAATTAGCTAAAAAGAAAAATTATGACATGTGTTTGTACACTATCCTCAATAAAACTGTGATAGTACATTCACGCTTTTTTGTACTTTTCTGAACAGAAATAACGTCAGGCGCTACTTAAGTCGTGGTGCATCGCGGTCGACAAATGCTACAACAGAAAGAAAAAAAATCATTGAATGCGTATAACCTGCAAGTTGTCGCCCGCATCTAAAGGAGGTTCTTAACCCTTCACACCCTGACATCAGTATGCATATTCTCCGTACTGTTCTCTATAATTTTCCTAAGATGCAAACGAGAGGAATTTGATTCACAATCAAGAGCTTCTTTAGTCGGTGATCATTTCCTTTTTTCTCGTCACCTAAACTGTTTCAGGGTGATATTGTAATGAAAAATGAGATGTAAGTCACTCAAGAGGTGTCAATGAGTATATCTTGTTTATTCTATGGAGAAGAGTACAATAAACATGCGGGGAAACTCTGTGTAATGTTCAACTAATTTTATTCACAAAACAATTATCACTAGATCACAAGGTTAGGAAGCCTGTGGCTTCAATTCACATACACAACACTTACAATGTAACACCTATTCATAACGTTGAAAGTTTGTTGTCATAGTAACATGCCTTAAAACTATCGCTAAACAAAAATCCGAAAAAGCGACAATTGATTATAGAGAGAGCAACACCATGTTAAAATACTGGGAACTATTCAATAGTGTCTGGACTAAAAGGCAAACGTTGTGTCATTTCTAATAAAATATTATCAGTGACAAAAACAGGAGATTAACCTAGCACAGAAAAGAAAGAACGATGGTTGAACCTTTCCTACCCTAACGTCGCTATGCTTATTCTCGTTACTTTTCTTCATATATTTCCAAAGGTGCCACAAGAAAGAATTTATTAACAATCTACACCTTAATTAGTTCGTGATTCAGTGGTGATATAGTAAGGAAATATCTGATGCTAGTCACCCTTTGGAATCAAAGGGCTAAGTTGAAGGAAATAAAGTTGGATTAATTTACAAAGGAATCTACTCGTGAAAGTAACACAACGATTGCTTCAAAGTCAGACAATCATCTGAAACCACCAAGAATAGAAATGGCACCTCCAAGGGAATGCTAAACATCAACTTTCTTTAGAATTTAAACAACAATCACCGAGACTGTACAAGTGACGAAATATATCCAAACTATTATTTCTTAACCTATGTCCATACATCTATGCTAATATTTACAAACTTTTTAATTATACAACGGCCAACAATTCAATACGTAACATAATATATTCTCTTTCGTTGGCAAAACCAAACAATCTAGCAACGAATTCTTGTACTGTCATGCTACGCTTCTTAGTGCAACTGTGAGAAGCGTTGCGTGACAATCGTTGCGTGACAACTTAAATAAACGGTTGTCTTAATTCTGCAAAAATTCTGAGGCTAAAGCTCAGAAGCGTAACTACTAAACGATTTGTTTTTTTAAACGTGACACTTAATTTATACCTGCGACACCTATAGAACATTCACGTCCTTTGCTAAAAGACATCGCTCAAAGCGAACACGCGAACGCTGGTGAATTCCCATGTTACTAACTCTAATAATGAGAATTCAAGCCACGTGGAAATTTTGGAGTCACTCATTACAAATTCATGTTGTTATTTACACTGATTGGATGACATGGTGTTGCAGATACAAATTTCAAAGAGGGCAGGAGTAGAATCTACCTTGATATAATGTGCCCCTCAATTTAAATGACAAACTATTAAGAGTGCATACAAAATATATGCTTGGTAAAAAACTAGGAAACAAAACCTAAATATCTTTAGAATGATGACTTTACGATAAACTATAAAATGTGACACCAAAATGAAAAGCGGAACTAAAATACACGCACCGCCATTTTTAAGTGTTGTAAGAGTCTTTGAAATACAAACGATATTTTCATTTTTTGTCTTGCAGTAGGTATCAGTTGAAAAAGGCGAACATTAGGATGAGTGACTTACAACATATAAAGCAGCAAACAAAATCCGGATCAATATCAGTATCTGGGCAACTGCTCACCTACCCCTCCCCTAACCCAACATTAACCCTAACTTGTCATCAATTGACTATTGTTGGGTTAGGAGAGGGGTAGGTGGGCAGTTGGCCAGATACTGATATTGATCCCAAAAACGATTGCAAATCATTAATACAGCGGCATTAATCAATTATACAATATCTTAGCAATTTTAAAGTTAATGTAGAACTCACTACAACCAAAAATATTTTCAGGCGTATGTTCTCTGTACAGTTTTTATACTGCCAAAACTATACACACATTTTTTTTAAGTAAAAAAGTAAACCATCATTTTCAATACAAATTAACTAGAGCTTCACACTATGGTCCAAACCATTATTATAATTATTAATTTGACTGCAAGTCATAGACTATCTTTCCATTCGAACATACAGCCAGCTGATGCCCAAACCTGTTGAACAGGATTTCGAAAAGGGACGAATTCCTGTCCAACGTGTTATTTTGTGGTCTGAAGTGTAAGCCTTCTCCTCGCTCAAACCCCGAGGGTCGCCCCATGGGGGAGTGGGGAGAGAAGACAGCTGACAAATCTGGAAAAAGTTTGATTCAAAGAAACAAAATTCATCTGAGCTGACCAATAAAATTTCTGCCACTTTTTTTTTTTTAACTAGGCAAAGATCAAGGCTGAGAAGGAACATATCTTAAACCTCTACATAACGCGAATAAATTATATTATATAATAAATTAGATTTTGTTTTGTTTTTCTCACATTATCAGTTTAGAGGTTTATGTTACAAAAATACAGTCAGACCTTGCTTAATACTGATTGATTTGTTGAATTTAAACATTATCCCTTAAAGGATATTAAACCCACCTTACTTCATTTGACAGTTTTGAGAGCAAAATTTTTAAGATCGAGAGAAGCAACACAACCTGCTAACCCTTGCAGGGCAGAGTCGAATGATCCATTATCCTAGAGCTCAATCCTGTGGTGTCCTGCTCCCCCTCCCCTCCCCATTAACTCAAAGGGGATGGGTTAGAGACCAGGAAAGTAGCAAGAACGGTAACTCCTCTTTTAGTGCTCTCATAGGTCTGAATGTCTGGAACACAGCAGATACATAACGCACTGTAGGTTAATATCAAACTATATCTTCTTTTAATACCACAGGGCGTGTTTCGTCGTCATCATCCTCGTCATATTCTACGCTACCTTGTCCTTCCATATAGTTGACATTATGAAAATTTCTGTTCAAATTTCCCTTGAATATTGCTGGCCGTTTAGTATAAACACCATCCGGTTTTACGATTATAGCTTTGTCCTCCGGCACATCTTGATCAGCAGTGTAATGAATTCTACAAGTAGAAAATAACACTTAAAGACTGTTTAATTGTAACCAAGAGACTCCCAGTAACACGGAAAAGTTCCCCCCCCCCCAGGAAATAATATCCCTGGGATTTAAATTCCTTGAGAGATAACTATAGATAGTGTTTCCAAGACATAACTATGGTACAGTTCACTCAAAAGTCGAAATAACAGCTGGGATTAAAAAGGTCGATAAAAACATTGATCTGACTGGTAATTTACTGGTATGAAAACTTAAACTTACTCTAGCTTCGGCGATCTTTTTCTCCTTGCAATAATTAACAGAATGATGATAAACACGATCGCAATGAACCCAACAACACCAAACACAGCTCCCAAAATAATTCCGTAGTTAGGTTTGCTGTCGTCTTGTCCAGATTGTTGTTTAACAACTGGTTCTTCAGTGCTGTAACTCACACTAGCGGGGGATGACACAGTTGACGATGAAGATGGCGATGGTTTGGTAGTTGGTGGCATAGCTGAATAATAAACAAGTGAATGAAAAATCATAAGAACACGTCTTCTCAACACTTGAGCAGGTCTTTTTTTTTGTTTCGTGTTTATCCGTTCCAGGCGTAACAAGTCAAATTCCTTCTACAACTACCTATCACCCGCTCAGAGAGCGTGTGAACAAACAAAAAAATAAACGAAAACACTAACTTACTCGAGTTACACGTCCTTCCATCAGCTTGAAGATAAAGGCCGTTAGGACAGTTGCAAGTAAACTTCTTAGCACCCGACGATAAAAGGCAAAGATGCGAACAATTTCCGTTATCTTTTGAACAAGGCGTAACAGCTGAAAAGAAAGATCAAGAGAAACATTTTCTAACTGCAATTAAAACCTTTCTACAGATCAGCAGAACCTCAATACATAATCGCTAAGGATAGGCTAAACGCATTGTACGTGTTAAACGAGGTACACAGGGCGCGGCTACGGGGGCCTCTAAGGTGCCTCTGAGCCCGCCAATGAGACACCACCTTTCCTTAGTACCATCCAAGCCTCTTATTGCGATAATGCATTTAGCTGCGATTCAGATAAACGCGTTTTGGTTGCAAAATCAAGTACGTGTTTTAACTCCAATAATACTAACGCGTTTTAGCTGCGACCAAAAGTAAGAGTTTTTTTTGCCTACCATGTGGTTGCCTCTGTGGATGGTATATGTGCAAATCTTTGGGCGATTCGGCTTGATTCAAAAGAACTGTTACATTTTTCCCAGTAAACTTGTTGGCTTTGACGATCTTTCTCTGATCAATCCAGTACATGTGATCCTCAAACACTGTGATGGCAGAGGGATCCTTAATGCCCTGGTTCACCACCTCACGCACATTGGAACCATCCATATCACAATGCTTAATAACCTTGAGTTTAGCGTCAATCCAGAACAATTTCTTAGTGGTGAAGTCAATAGCAATGTCGACTGGCCATTCAATATGGTTTCCACTTATAACGATTTTTCGATCGCTTCCGTCCATGTTTGCTCGTTCAATTTTGGCCGGGTCTCCCCAGTCTGTCCAATATAAAACCCTGAAAGACAAAGATAGAAGAATGTAAGAATTTCCACCCAAAAACTTAACACAAAGATTAAGACTTGCACTTTAATTGTTTGGTTCTGGTCGACGCTTACAGGTTTCCTCAATAATAGTATGGTTGTCACGCAACATATCTCCACAAGAGACGCGATAACGATTGTGTGACGAACATTAAAGGTGTAACTCTGGGGTTACTCATTGCACCGATTCTAGGTTTCTTTGGACTCCAATTTGAAAATATTAGTGGATTTTTCTTACCCTTCAACGGGGTCAACAGCTATAGCGCTAAGTTTCTCGATGCCTTCGTTGATCAAAGTGTGACGGAAGGAACCGTCCATCTCGGATACTTCAATAGAACCACCTTCATTGGCCCAGTAGATTTTCCTCCCGACCCAGTCCACCGCGATGTGGGATGAATCTTCCAATCCTTCTTGCATGACGTCTACGATTTTGGGAGCAGGATTCTTATCAATACGAGCCCGCTGGATTTTCCTCAGAGACTTTTCTGTCCAATAAATCATGCTTGTTTTAAAATCGAAGTCCAAAGAAAAGGCGTTTGTAAGTTGAGCGACTGCTTCTTTGTATTCGGAGCCGTCTGTCCTGATCCGACGAATATTCCTACGATTGCTGAAGATCAACATTGGACGAGGACCTGACAGAGACACCATACGATATTAACCCCATGCACATTAACATTAGAATGCATATTCTCCATACTGTTCTCTAAACGTTTCCTATGGTACTACCAAGGAACCTAATTTAAAATATATTAAAGTTCACATGGCAACCAGGTGGACAATCAGACATGGTTTGATGCTACTCTGGTTTACAGATGTAATGAATGTAAACGAAGAAGTTACAATTCATAGACCCAACGTTTCGACACTCCTGTCTGGTGCCGAGTGTCAAAACGTTGGGTCTATGAATTGTAACTTCTTCGGTTACATTCATTAAATCTGTAAACCAGAGTAGCATCAAACCATGTCTGAGACCTAATTTGTTTAACAATCCAGAGCTGCTTTCGCAGGTGATCCTTTCTTTTATTCTCATGACCTTAATGTTGTTCTCATGCTTGGGGGTTTTCCTCAATCATTGTATCTATCGAGGACAGACCTTTCCGCTGTATACTTTATCTAATTACGAAACAAAACTTGCTAGGGTACTGTTTTTCCTAAACCCTTCCCAATCCTCAAGGCAACTGATCTTGTCCTTGACAAACCGCCTTGTCTAATTGAAAACTAGCTAGGCAGCTTTTGGACAAAAGGGCTTGTCAAAGAAAACCTCGTCGTATATTTCGAGAATACGGAGACCTTCGGTTGCTTTCCAATTACAGCTTCGTCAGAGTTAACTAATGGCAGCGTAGCGCCAGGATATCAAACCTAACTCGCGGGTAGATAACTTTTTTTACGTACCTCGAGTGGCGCGACATTTCCTGCCGTCAGGATCCAATTGATAACCGTCAAGACATGAACATTTAAATCCTCCTTTCAAGTTGTAACAGATTTGGCTGCACATTCCCGGAATATTGCACTCATTTATGTCTGCAACAGACAATAAAATTTCCAAGTCAACATTGTGAAAAAATTAGAAGAACAAGTTAAAGTGGTCATTTAAAGACTTGCTCTCTTACCAATCTTCGCTGATTTTAGCTGAGAATGCAGCAATACAAAGTACCTAGTACTACTCAAGTACTGCTTTTTAAATTCAACTTTATATTCCAACCTATTGAATACTAGCTCTGATACATTTTGGCTTATAAAATACTCAGCGATTACTGTCACGTAAGAAATCTAATTGGCTCGCAGGTGTTTTCCTCTTTGGCTTCCAAGGTCTTACCTTGGCAACTCTTTTTGTCGTCCGCTAGTTCATATCCAGGTCTACACGAACAGTAGAACCCAGTCTTCGTGTTGTGGCAATAGTGCAAGCAATGTCCATTGTGATCCTTGCACTCATTTATGTCTAAGAACAATAAAAAAAAGTATTAAGAATATTAACCCTATACACCCTAAAGTATAGCTGACCAAGTTACTATTCGTTTTAGTTTTTTTGTCTTTGAGTTATTTTCAAGCGAGTGTCTTATGCATTGTTTTGGTATCCGCCGCATGATTGGTCCAAAAAACCCGCGCCTTCTGTTAACCAATCAGATTCAAAACAGAAACCGATAGCGACTTGGTCACTCGCGTTTTCCCGCGCATCAAGCAGTCTGCTTGCTTTCAATCTGCGTTCTCATCGGCTTCTTGTGGTTAATTTCCTTTCCGCTGATTGGCTGTTGAGATTGGTTTGGCTTTGGGTTTACTAGACTCTAGCGGAACACACTATCGGTTCAGGGAGAAGCACTCGTTTTAAAGACAAGACACAGAACGTGACGATACAACATCTAAGACATCTTCATCAAATATTGCTTAAAACAGGCGTCAAGTTCTCAAACTCACCGCAGTTATTTTCATCCTCTCCATGGGGGCAGTCGGGATGTCTGTCACAGACTTTGCTATCATCAATGCAAATTAAGCTGCTGCCACAACGAAATTCGTTGGCTTTGCACACGGAAGTGGTTTCTGTACAAAATGAATAGTGACAACAAAAAACCTTTTCAGTCTGATACTTTCTTCACCAAGACAAACGTTTATACAAGAGGAATCGGGATTGAGACTTAGAGGGCCTTATGTTACAAGCGCAAGCTTTAGATGTACAGCGTAATGCCAAAAAATTCACCTAAATTATCATTTCTTCTCGTTAAAAACGGACTTTTCTGTATACTAGAAAGCAAATCGTTAAAGCTTTGATTGTAAGCTTATCTTTTATTCATTGGGTCTTTATTTTACCACGATAGTGTTGAGCGCAAAGCTTTTAGTCAGCATCGCATTTTTCAGCCAGTTTTTGTACTTACTATTAGAGTAACCTGATACATCAACTGTGGGGCCTGGCCGCGGAGACGCATGTGTAGTTGTCGGAGGTTGGGTACTAGTAGTTACAGACGGGGTTGGAGAAGCTGGGAGTTAGAAGACAGTTGCCCAGATCAATTAATACAAGTATTATAAAGAGAAAGAACAATTATTTGTGGACTGTGACAGTGGGTCAACACAAAGTAAATACTCTATCATTATTCACACCACAACGCGACTGCGGAGATAAAAGTGCACCGGTACCTCATGCAAAATACTGTGATGTGGAGGTACTTAGCACTTTTGTATTCATCGATACTAGCCTAAGTATTGTATTTTGAGTAGTGTAAGTATTCTTAATGTTGTGATGTTCGTTGATGTGATGCGATGTGTTCTAATATGACGTAATGTGACGCAATGCGATGGAATGTGATGTCAGGTCATATACAACATAAAGTCTGAGCGTCGTTATTAAGGTAATTAGTACAAATCATCAACAGCATTTAAGCAGAAAAAGTAAAAAACTACATCCTTGTAAGGATTCTAACGAAAAAGCCAGCTAGATTCAAAGCAAAGTTCAGCGAGGTTTCGTTTTAAGCTACGTGGGCAGCATAGTACCCAGCTTACACAGCCATTGCATGCTCGCAGTGCATTAGTAGTGAGTGGATATAATAGTCCATATAAGGTTAGGTAAAGTTGAAGTATGTACGTGCACATGAAACAGTAAAAAGCGTTGGAATTAAAAGGTATGGCCAGAAAAGGGAAAAAACAAGAGGATAGATGACACAAACGTTATTTACGAGTTGGAAAAACTGGAAAAGAAGGCAAGTGGTTTCTGTCAACAGATTGAAAGAAAAAGCATTCACTGCTATGTCATCATGAAATGAGTTTAAGGCAATATTTAAAAGAGTTTATTTTTAAGAGGTTATCTTACTGTTCAATAAATTATGAAAAAGCGATAGTTTACTTTCCAACAATGCATTTATATTTCGCGGGAACCATTTGCTCGCGGCGATAAAGAAGAATTTAAGGGACTTTATAAGCTTTAATGGTCATCACGACCTTTCAGTTTAAAGTTTATTTAAGTGACGCTTACGAGACCATAATTTCAAGCGCAGTTTAACTTTTAAGATAGGCGTTGCTCCAATTTTAACTAAAGGCAGAGCAATCTAGGTGGAGACTTGCGATAAGCGTTTCCTTGGATTTAAAATGGTAGCGAAATAACGGTGCAATATTTCTCAAGTACTACGAGAGATTTTTAGGGGACACGACTGCATTGAATGCAGCAAATCATATCACAAGAATGATACTGGTCGAGTTCCATCAGTTTTGATACTTACGACAATTCCTCTCGTCACTTTCATCACCACAGTCATCGTTTCCATCACAACGCTGCACGGAGGGAATACACTGTTGATTGTCACACTGGAATTCCTGAGGCGTGCAACCGATGTTGCCTAAAATCAAAACCAACCAAAGGGTTAGAATTTTCTCTGTAAAATCAAAAACCTTGAAACCTGAAAACATAAACATTGATTTATCTTTTTCTTACCACAGCTTGATTCATCACTTCCATCGCTACACTCAGCTGTTCCGTCACAAATCCACTTCCTGTGGATGCACTGACTTCTGTCGCTACACAGCCATTCATTTATACGGCATTTGGGTGGAGGAGGGGTAGGTCGGGTTATAACTAATGGAATGAAGTAAAAAAGAATACGTTACAAACGGAATACAGGGGTTTTTGGAGCTGATCTCAGCTTATGTCCTATTTGTCTTTGTTACGAGGAAAACCTCTTTTTAAAAACAGTTCAAATAAAGCTTACCTGATGAATTACAACTGTGTTCGTCTGAGCCATCCACACATTCCTGCCTTCCATCACATCGGTACAAACCACGGATACATCGTCCACTCTCAACACAGCGAAACTGAGATGGATCACAAGAGGCCTTGTCTGTTATAATATGACGAAAAGAAGGCTTCAGTAGTACTCAAACCAAAGGATATAGTCAGGCACTGCTCATTATTAATCCCCCGAGACGGGGGGAGGAAAGATTTTGTTTTGGGGAGGGCCACATGGTTTTCAGGGGGGTGGGGTTAGGGGTTCATAAGGATATTACAGAGCCCCTCCGACCCCCGCTGGTGATAAATGATGACCGGTTTCCCATTCAAATAAAAGACTTGAACAGCACTTAAAAAAAAAAAAAATTACAAAGTAAAGGAAACAACTTACGGCAATTGCGTTCGTCACTCCGATCACCACAATCGTCTTCCATATCGCAGAGGAAATCGTTGGACACGCATCGCAAACCATTGACGCAGCGGAACTCCGTAGATTTACACTTGACTGCAAAAAGAAATTATATAATAAGCTCAGTTATGCACGCATTCTGATTGGTTCTCACTTATGATCTATTAGAGGACAGACGTGTAGATGACGTCATCATTACAACTTTTTAAAATTCTTTATTATATAAAACAAATAGATTCCATGTTGCCGTGCGTCTGTTCAGTAATAGATCATAGAGGACGTCAAAATGTGGTAAGAACATCAGTGACACACTCGGCTGCGCCTCGTGTGCCACTTTTGTTCTTACCACATTCTGTGATCTATTACTGAACAGACGCACGGCAACTTGGAATCTATTTGTTAATTAGACAACGTTGGAGGTTAATGACCAAGTGACGAACAAGGTGCGACAAAAAAACAAACAAAAACAGTTCACTCTTAGTTACAACAAGTTTCACTTACGAGAGCCGCAATTCAGCTCATCACTGTTATCACCACAGTCATTTTCCTGGTCACATTTCAGTTCAGCTCCAATACAGATTCCATTGGCACATGTAAAGTCACTAGAGCTACAAGTGTGGGAAACAGTGGCTAAAAAAAAAAAAATGGTCATCCTGATCAGATCTTCTGCACGATTTGGCATCGAAAGGTGTTTTCATCCGACGTTAAAAATAAAATTTAAAGAAAAACAAAGCTAGTAAAGCAGCATTTTCAGGAAACTAGAAAATCGATTGTTCTGACGCCATGTAATCTCGGTTAAGTTACAGGCTCCTTACCCTTATAACTCTGAGAAAGGGATAGGGACAGTGGGTATGTTATGGAAAAAAACTATCAGTCGATAACTGCGCATCTCCTGATTTGAGGAAGGCTGTTTCTACATGGTGGCTTTGGCTGTCGCTCTTTATCAAGGTGACCACAAGAACTTGTCACGCAAGATATACTTCCTAAGATATGTCGTGAGATGTTCTTCACCTTTGAAATCTACAATCGCATGCGCTAAAATCACACACTGCTGCTTTCTCAACTAGGAAAAATTTATCAAACCGCTATTATTTGCAGGGTTCTGACTAAGCTGTTAAGATGGTTTCAATGTCAGTTCGCGTGATCAAAACAAAGGAATGATATTATGAGCAGAATTTAGTAACGGATTGATCGCTGAAGGGGAACTGCCTCGTCATACGATGCGGAGAGAATTTCTCCCAAACGAATGCAATAAATTGTATATAGACGCGTGAGGAGAATTTGAAATACTTACGACAGCGAGGTCCACTATCAGTAGCTTCATCACTTCCATCTTTGCAATCTTTAGCACCATCACAAACCCAACTAGTGGGTATACAGGTACCATTCGCACAGGTGAACTCGGTTTTTGGGTCGCACAAGCGTAGACCTGCAAAAAAAAATGGATATCTTATAGACGTATTGCGTAACACAGACGAACAAGAAATTAAAAATCGTTGGTCTAATTAGCATCAAAATCTAAACTTGACGTCAACTTTCCACCCTTTAATTATCTCCCTGAGCAGGCACGCACGTCAATGGTTAAGTAGTTACCTTGACGAATGAAGTAGACCCTACAGCACTTAACACACCATTCATAACGCGCGCGACAAGGCGTATCTCACGCGTGTTACGATTGCACACGCAGAGAAAGTTGCGTGTTTTAAAGCGAATTTTAGAAATACCGCTTGGATCATGGAAAATAAGACTTTAAATCATAAGCTCGAAAGGGCGGAAGGATCAATTGCCGTAGGTGTTTATTTTCAGATATATCCAATTAATGATGAACAGAGAGACACCCAAAATAAGGATAAACTTCTACAGCTGTGTTGGAAAAGATCGCTGAAAGTTCAAGAAATGGGCGGTATTAAGGAGACAAAGTTAAAAAGGCCAGTTCAGTTCCGTTCTGATGAGAGTCGACTTCAGACATAAATTGAGTTCAAAGAATATCACCCAAATTCCACAATAACACTAAAACAGCGAGGAGTCTGAAAGAATTCCAGATATTAACGTGCAATTTAGTGGGGGCGTACTCTGCAAATTGGATTTACGATTCTTGTGATGAAAAACAACACCATCCCTTCCTCTCAACTTTCAAGGGAATGATTTCAATAATACACTTCCAGGGGAGACATATCACCTGAAACGCACGTTATGTCTCAGTTAAGTTTTTTTTTCTATGGATCATATCAAGGGGGCAGACGTTAAGTGTAATAAACGCAGCATGTTAATTGATGATAAAATTGTATCTAAGCAGTGCTTACCATAACTTTGAAAAACAAGCCAAAAAGAGGGCAGCAGTTCATTTAATTTGAACCATCAAATATCTATGATAGGTGCTGTTTCTTTTCTTTTTTTTCACTGTACCTTTTCAAAGATTATTTGGGGATCAGGCAAAATAAAGAGTTTTTTTTCCAGAGGCAAAATACAAAAAACGGATATATAAATGAAATGCCAAACACTATTAGATAACTCACTCAAAGTACATGACTTTAGTTCAAACGGCCATCAAAACAGCCTGTGATATAAAATTCCCAAGTTGGGAATGTGGATTGAAGGAGACCATCACAATATTGAAAATATCAGAGCATAATAGATTCTTAAGAGCTCTTTGAATTTTCTTTTTTTGTTAACTCTAGAAGAAACAGATAATTTTCCATGATATTGTGACTGTTTCAATTTTGCTTAAGAGCATTTTTGATTTCAAAATTAACTTTCATAAATTTCAAATAACAAGATAGAGTTGCACGTTCTTTCCAACTTTGGTTTTAGTATTAGGTACCCAAACAACTAAAGTTAATGGAATTTCCAGAACACATTGCTAAATGGAGATTTTAGAGCTCATAAATCTGGATCTAGATGTTTGGGTTAAAGCCCTTATGTCAGAGTCGTGTGTTGTGTTCCTTAAAAAAAAAAACAAGATATCTATTTTCGTGTCTTTGGTGCAATGACTGGTTGCAGATAATATATACGCATGTACACATAATTGTTTGTTAAGCACAAGATAGATTGTTGAGAGTGACAGATTGGCATGGATAGATTATTTGCATGTTGTTTATCTTTACTATCTACTTCAGTCTAAAATTACACATTCATTGTTTGCAAAAAACAAAAGTCTACCCTTGTGGTCAACCTCTCTTATATGCCCCTTAAAACAAACAATCACATGAAAAAACAAATGGCTTTTGCATTTTAACGCTAAAATCTACAACATCCACAGTGAAATTTCCTCAAAATTTCAAGTCATTAATTCACGACATCCAGACATGGTCACAGAAACAATGTGGTGTTGAAACCATGAAAACATTATTCAATATTGACTTAGCAGCAGGAGTTAAGTTATGCAACAACAGAGCCTTGCTATGCCTCATGATCAAATTGGATCAATCTACAAACTACTTGGGTTTTCTTTTGTTCCACCATAAGAAAATGTCAGCCACTTATGTTAATTTTTTTTGGTGGTGCACTGAGCTAATTATGCAAATGGTTAAAAACATTGTCTTGGACAAAAAACTTGATCACCTTGAACTTCAATAATTCTTGATTTAAAAAATAAATTCTTTTGGACAAAAGAATGAGATATTATCAAAGTGTCCAATGGTTAAACAATACAATTTTCTTCCACTCAACATGAGGTGGCTTATATAATTATTTAGGTTCATAACCACAAATGGTGATTATTAATAAATACAAGCCAAAATGACTTAACCATCACTTCCTCTGCATAGAAGACATTCTAAAGTTAGAATTCTGGGTCTTTGAGGAATACTTATTTCCAACTGCATGTTAAGCACTAGAGAACAGCCAATTAAAGCTTCTCAACTCCCCCTCTAAAAATACAATATTGAGACCAATTTTTGAAACCAACTGATCCTTTCAGTTCAAGCTAAAACATTAAGCTGCATATCATTGGAATTTACAAATATGGTTTATTTTTCTAGTTGTGTCTTGTTTTGAAAAAGTTAACTCATGTTGGTAAAAAGTGAAAAAGCTCTCTGGCCATCTGTTCTAGATTACTCATTAGTTGTATGTTAATAACAATATTAAAATGACTTTGGGCAGTTAGATTTAAATATGTTGAATTAGAGCAATTGTCTTGAAGAGAAAAGGACAATTTTGTCTTCCTTTAACAAAATGAAAGGGCTGAGAAGCGACATTCAAATTCCTATTGAGCAGAAAGCAACCTTAAAAGGTTTATGCCCGAGTTGTTGCCATAAATAAAGTGGTGACTCTCAAGTTTACTCCATTCTGAAGTCTCTAAAAAGGAATTTCCCACCAAACCAAAAATTTATTCTCCATCAACAACATTGTTTGTCACAAGAACAAAGGAAGTTTGAATAGCGTTCAGTATGTTAATTTCCCTCCTTAAACAGGCGAGACGCTGTGGCGCGTTTTAGAAGTATCGTAACCATTTGGCTCATTTTACTAAATGATCTAACGAAGCATCATCTTCAATGTTTAAAAACTGACTCTATAAACATAAACAACAAGAACATACATTCCAAGGGATTACTTTAGGCATTCAATTATTTTTTTGCACTTAGCAACATATTTGAAAAAGAATCCCCTAGGAGACTACGATCATAATATTTTAACAACAATGACACTTTGTAAACAAAAACCTGAAAACCCAGATCGAAAGTGCTTACATTTTCCAAAAACTTTAAGACTTAGAAAGATTACCGGTTATATTAGTAAACTGACGTTTGCGTACGTTAATTTGGTGTTTTGTCTTCCCAAACAAATTAGTATAGAGCAATGTTTGGAATTTAAACTCGTAAAAAGTGGGATAAGATTAATACCTCGCTCAGGAGAGTTATCATGGAGACGAACCGAATAGGATTGTCAAATTATAAATAGAGTTTTTCGCTTGGACTACGAAGAAAAGACACAGAAAGACAGCGAAATCAGCGAACGCGTCATAGCGAAGAAACCTGTTGTCGCACAGTAGTTCCATGCAAATTTAACCAGCATAAGCTTGACCAATCAACGACAGCCATATTGGCACACACCCACGAACGTCCCACAAACAAAGGCGGCTTACTGTTAGAACTTCAAAGTTAAGCGAGCGAATTTTTTTAGCGAAAATCAATCCATTTTCCAAAAATTATGTTCTTTAGATGGCTAATAATAAGCACTATGGCCAATAATATGGTTATATCGTATCAGATTTCAACGAAATCGCCACGAGAAAGATTAAACCAGGTCTAAGACGGAAGTTCAATTTCCCGAGAGAATACTACAATTTCGCCCGGGATTTCGTCAGCTATTTATTTCTTATCAAAAGATTCCTGCCAGGAGCTCATTCAGGTCGACTTCAAGATGTTTTCTACCCCATCTTAAGCTCAAATGAACGTTCAATACTCGTACGACTGGCTACGTAATGCGAGAAATTGTTATCTTAATATACGATTTTGAATTTCAAATTTCAGTTGCGTTGCTTTTCCACGCAGGGAATTAGATGGAGTTAAAAAATAGATTGTGGCGATTTTCTTTATCCAAAGTTTTCCCTATCAGTTTACTGAATCTAATTCACTGAGGCAAAGTAAATTCCTAAACCAGTTTTCTTCACTGAGAGTCACCTCGTATTTCCGCCGAACGCGACAGATGTAGACATTAACCAGTTTACTCAACTCAAGTATCGTTTCAACTCAAATAAAAAACACAAGAGATAAAACTTACGGCAACCACTTTCATCTGAATTATCCCCACAATCATTTGCTCCGTCACATCGCCAATCCAAGGGAACACAGCGCTGGTTGTTGCATCTGAACTTCGATGAACTACAGTTAAAACCTAGCAACGTACGGCAGGTACACGTTTAGCAGTTATCGAGAAAGAATGTTGTGGACTTTCTTCTAATTTTTGATCCAAAGTCAAGGTCTAGGCTAGTAAGATAATCTAATTCGTCATAAACTAAAATAACATCGAACTTTAGAGCGATTGGAACGGGAATTCAGTTCACTGTAGAAAACCGGAGGGCGTGTTTGGGGGAGCGGTGAAACTCAACCTTCCCACTATCGTGAAATATTCATCGTACAGTTCGTTGTACAAACGCCGTCACGACTGTAAGTTTACTCAAAAATCTTACTCCAATACAATGGATAAATCTTTCGATAGTTGACGATAGCTTTCTCGAATCGAACTCACTGAAAGTTCGATAGAAGTTCCTGTCAAGAAGCGAAACTAAAAGTAGTTTAAAGGTGTAACTGCCAAGCGCATTATGAACGATAGTTCTCTCCCGTCGCTCGAGATTTGAAAGAGTTGGAGTACAAATCTGCCTAAAAGTCTTAGTATGTTTAGTCTTGATAGGAACTGACCTAAAACCGCTCTCTTTGCTGACAGAATAATCCAAACGACTACCAGATAGCGAAGTGAATCCGCTCCCATTTTTGATAAATCAATTGTAGTCTTTCGTCTACAAGCGTGGATCACTGGAAGAGATTGATTTGCATAGCTCGGCTGCCATTTGTCCACAGCTCGGGCGAGTATCACGCCACTTGACGTCATAGCGCGCCACTAATCTTCACAGAGACAGGTGGATGTGTGAATGTCGCGTGGTGCGTGGATGGGGGGTACGAACTCTCTAGCTTACAGCGGAGCTGTCTGGGCTTGTAGTTAAACTTGTGAAGTAATTTCTCTTGTCTTCGGGTTAATTTTACTAGTGAAAAATCCTTTAAGGCCTATCACTACAATAGCTTAAGAAAATACTTATCTTTCGACAGATCAGTCATTTCCGAGTACTTGCGAGGGTAACACGTATGTATTTTGCCGTTCGTTCAAAAATGGCCATAACGAGATTATGAGAATGCTTCATCATAAATAGGAGCTAACTTTGAATTGCTCATACGATTAAATGAATTTATATTCTCTAGTTCTCCCTTCTTTCTTTTTCAATGTGGACAACACGTGCAACTCCGTAAAAACACTGGGCAACGGAAGTGAAACACGTACAAGTCCGCGAGGCAGAGTAAAGGGTTCGCGCGAGGGAAAGTTTGGGAGACCAACCGGAAAAAGGAAATCACCCTTTAAGAAGGGGCACAACATGCGTAGGACCTAAAATAGGCTAAGTGACTTGTCATTTATGTTAGTTTGAAAACAAATGAAGTCTTGAGCGCCAGCTTGAGTCCTTAAAATCTATCCCACTGTTTACGAAGACTGTGATAAGTACTTGAAGGAATTGGTAACATGTTTAGTCACCTGGATAACGCTCTCGGCAAATCATACTTCTTGCAACTTGTATATTTCTTGTGAAAGATGAATCTTGTAACCTTAAAAACCAAGGGAAACGCTGTGTCAATAATTTTTTGTTCCAGAAATGTATGGAATGTTAAACACTTCAACCTATTCCCAAATAATGTATTTAATTTCACCATACCATGAATTACTGTAGTTTTAGCTGACACTAAAGAAAGATGGTGTCTGCAGGAGTTAGAAAAAAAGTCGATAGAAATTCCTCCCTTTGTGTCTGTTTCCTTAAATTTGTACCTATTATTTTTGATGTAACAAAGGTTAGTAATATTCGAAGATTAGACTTTCAATATGCCATGTTTTGCCTGGGAAAAATTCAGAATGCTTCTCGAAACAGTCGACAACGTAAACACAAACATCAAGTTCAGGGTTATGTAAATTCACGAAAGGGTCAGAAACAATTGCGTCTCATTTAAACTTTGTATGAAGGTTTTCTTAATTCCAAACGGAGCATCTTTCATAGCTATATTCTTTGTAAAACTATTGTTGGGGAGTGAAAATCAATGAGATGAAACAGTGATCAAATTCCAATATGTTTATAAAAATCTAAAGATTATCAAGTCATCTGTTTTTCTGATGATTTATATTAAGATTGTACCCGTCACCTTCGGTGACTTTTATCCCTAATATTTAATTATGTAACGTGACAGTCATGACAGTCATTTGTAGCTCAATTTCCAAATTGTAGATGTAAAATTTTTGTTCTTTTTGAACTTTAAAGCATGCAAAATATCCTAAGGCAAAAACAAATTGCTCAGAGGAAAGATGATTGCAGCGCTAGGAAAAGTCCTCGCTTTCAATTTTTGTCTTTACAGTGATTGCAATGCAGAACGTTTTATCACAACTATAATTATTGTGGTCATCATCATAAAAATATTAACATTTTTTTTTTGTATATTTATGTTTTTATTCATGGATGTATTTTTAAATTTATTTCTTTAAGTAAAATAAAACGATAGCCAGTTGGCTTTAGTCCAGCTCATAAAATGCATAAAAAAGACCTAAAAGCTTTCAACAAAGAGACATTCCATTTAACTTTTTTGGTTTTATTATGACCTGAATTTGCGTAATATTTTGTTTTTAGGATTTCATGCAGAACTAAAAATTAAATTTACTTTCCTCACTCAGCCTGAAAGTCTGGCAAGTGTATTTACAAGTCGACGCAAACGGAAAACAAAAGTTCCTTCTAAAATATTATTTTATGTCAATTTTTTGTTTACACGCTTTCTTATAATGCAAAAGCTTTCCAACAGCTGCACCCGCCCTTGTAGGTCCTAAAATATTCTGCGAGTCACGCGTACGATTTTCTTACGGTACGCGTGTAACTCGCACGATCGCGCCAGAAATATCACCTGACATGACACCATGGCCGGACATCGCGACCTGGGCACTAGCGTTTTTTTCGAATTTTGTCACGCCGTTGTGATGGACGAAACTATCTCCTTTGACTTTATTTTTACGAATGACCATTGATTGATTTTTTTACCTCACTTTTTCAACATGAATAAATTTAATACGATCTGATCATTGTAGCAGGCTTACGTTAGTTTCTTGTCGGCGGTAAGCGATAAGAAAGCTAGCTGACGGCAGTAGGGCGAGAATTTTTTGGACGTCCATTCTATATCTACTTCATTGACACTGATATTGAATTTGCTGATATTTTTTAAACAGACCGGCAAAAAGACAACACGGCCTCGATCGTTTATTGATTCAAAAAATTCCAAAAAGATACTTTGCCATGTTAAAAAAATTAGACGATTTTCAGTGTGCGTGATTTGAATTTATTAGTATGTGAGACGTCAAAAGTGGTTACGAAACTTTCATTAACAACAAAAGAAAGGCAAACAAACAGGAAAGGATACTACAAAAGATAAATGCGAAAAATTCAGTATTCTCCTGGCTCCTATTTGAAGGAGGTTATTTTCGGCGATGCTCTTGTAAATATAGTAAAATATTTATGACAAATATCACTCGGCTGATGTCCATGTGATGAATAACTCAGTGACGCAGGCGGCGCATTAAGAATATCTGCTTTAGTCCCAATTCATTTACGAATTTTTTTCACAATTAATTATTTACAATCATCGTAGTTACTCAGTGTTTGGCAACTGAATGCACCATAAATGACAAAATGAAGCCTTAGCAACTGATATTCTTTTATGTTAAAGTCGCTTTCAGGGTACAACTTTAATTCTGAGAGAAGAGGTTGTATTTATAGGATCAGTATAGTATTAGTGTCTTTTTCACGACCACCTTTTGAAGTGATTTTCCGGTATTGGATGCGAAATATCTCTTTCTTTTAATGTTTAAATATGCTAAATTATCAATTCCATGTAAGGTCCTAAAAGCCAACAGGAATTGCATCACTTGGTCGCTGCAAAAGATTTCCCTCAAAATACAGAGGCTTACATAGACATAGCTATTAACGCGCACGAAGTGATATAGATATTACGTAACCAGACAGACAGAACGAGGGTAAAACTGCAAGAGCTGTATTGTGCACTGTGGTTATTATATTTTTTTCCTCTTTCTCTTCATAGATAAGAAGGCGTCGCCACATTCAATCACCTTAATTTACAGACGCTAATACAAGCTCCTCATTCTATCAATACCTTACTATATCCCTGGGAAACAAAAAATTTACAAATGCAAATTTTGAAATCTTTCGAATCTTTTTTACTGAATATTCAGAGCATTTAGCAGTTTCAGTGTTACTTGTATCTTAGTGTAATCTCAATAAAAATACCTCACCTTACTTCCACAGTACATCGCTTGTTATCTGACCGCTTACTATGTTAAAAATTTTGGCGAGTTTTCCATTTCCAGGTTTACTACATAAGATAAACTCTTTTTTAGTAAACCTAGAAATGAATAACTCGCTAAAATGGGTTCTTTTCAACATACTAAGTGGTCAGATAACAAGCGATGCACTATGGAAGTAAGGTGAGATATTTTTATTGGGAATTCGACCGTATTTTTCTAATTCCTAAGAGCGGTGGTAAATATTCCATTAACACTCGTTTAATTTCGGGCTGTGACTCTTATTACGCAAGATGATCATCTCACAGCTAGAACTTGGGCCGCCTGCGTTTGAACATATTGATTTGACGACCTTCTCAGAGTCCATGGCGCCGATAGACTAGCTCGCATCAAACTCAGTAACAAATATTCAAGTTATAACTCTTGAGCTCATTTCACACTCTCATGGCAAGAAGCCTTGGAAATACCTGCATCTTTATGAAAAATTTCAGTACAGCTGACAAAAATAGAAAATAAATTTGTAATTATGGTTCGATCATCATATAACCGTTTGTGATCGAGCCAACTTCCTTGCTGAAACCTTGACCCAAGTCCACCGATCTGGTCAGGATAACGTGTTTTGTGCGGAATCATGTCAGTTGAAACACATTTTGAGAAACTCTGATCTCTACCATAATCGAATGACCACAATTTTTTTGGCAAAGCTGTTTCCACTGTATTGGGTTCACTTAATGTACTCGACACACGTTATCACACGCGTTCTGGTCAAAGAGACATCATCAAAACTACCTCCCACGTTGAACCCGAGTTATACTAAGAGGACATGATGAAAATTTTGAAAGTGGTCTTCACAATCAGAAACACAAATTTGAGCAATACAAATTCTCTATTTCACGTTTTACAGCACAATCAAAATTGTTTGAAGGTAAAAAACAGAATGAAAATTCATCTGTTACGTAGTACTCTTCCTTCCTTTCTCCCAGCTTCTCCTGTCTCCTCTGTAATTATTGACAAAACACTTCCCATCTGACAGATGTTCATTTTTCATCATTCGAAGAAGGACTCTTTTACAAGGGCGTTGAGCAATATTTGTATCTCATACGGTCAGGATTTCTCGTCTTTACGAACAACACTTGCCGCTGAGTGTTAGGTATTTCTTGATTACAAAAAGAGCACCAATATAAATGGCAACAAGCGAAAGCGAGGCGCACATTGAAATTAACCTGAGAACTTCAATAAAAGCCACATTTACATATCAATATATCCATCAAAAGTTGTTCAATTACAAGGAAGCTGTCGAAGTTGTCAACAGAAGAGACACAGATAAAAGGAAGGTTCCTAAATATGCAAGGATCTTAAAGCTAGGAAGTAATTCCAGACTCGCCCACCTTTTTCGCAATTAACAGAACAAAGCATTTTTTTTAATGAAAAAAATTTATCTCTTCTCAAGAAATGCTTAAGTTATGGTCGAGTTTTAGATGCAACGAGTCTTCCTCTTCCGCTGGTTACTAATTTCAAATATTACACGATAAAATTCCCTTTAAAAGGTTTTTTAAAGAGAGTATCTTCGAATAAAATAATGAGCATTCAAACAACACTACGATCAGACTTGCAAACGTCCACATGTATATTCACACTTCTTTAAAGAAATGGACACCATGGGCAGTTTAGATATATTTGAGAAAAAACGCCAATTGGTGCAAAACACATTTTGCCGTAGTACTCGTGTACAGAAATCTGTGCCACAACAGAAAGAAACTCTACTCAAATTCCATGAGTTTCTTAGAGCCGATAAGATCTTGAACCAGTCTTCGTCAGTTAGTTTCGCTTATTCATCTACCCCTTCCGTCTTCCACTTTCCGTCTTCTTAGAAATCTTTCATTCATTTTGCCCCACCGCCTCCCCTTGCCTTGGCAATGTCAATATCTGATTGGGTAATTGTATGAAATACGTCATCTACATCATAAATGTCGCGTGGAATATCTTGGTTGGCTTCCCGTCGATCCTCAAGAGCTTGCTTCGATTCCACGCGAGCTCGATACCGTTGAGCAGCTTGCTTGCGGATCATCCGACGATACTAAGATAAATAAGGGTGAGATTTAGAAAGTGTGGCGACCCTAGATAAAGAATTTGTGTAAAAATGACTCTTACAAAACTTACCTCATTAGGTGATCGGTAATGTGGGTTTTCATAAAGTGTTGCTCCTCCAAAACTTCCTTCAAACACTCTTATAAGGTTTAATACAAATCGTGGGCCTGAAATATAAATTTACCACGTTAAAATCACAACTCAGAATTATGCCATATTTTAACTCTTATTAGTCTTATGTGAAAATAAAGAAATTAATCCTTTAACTCCCATGAGTGACCAAGACAGAATTTCTCCTTAAAATATCATTACATTATCAAGCAGAAAAGTGATGAGAATAGAGAAATATATCAATAAGGGGATTACCAGTTGATCTAATACCAAATTCTCTTAAGTAACATGATAAGAATTGTACAACAGACAGTAAGGAGAACTACTAAGAGATCTTTGGGGTGAAATTATCAAGAGAAAGGCATTTACCAATTTCCAGCAATGATCCATCTTCCTCAACAATCTATGGAACAATAAGAGTTTGCACAGGTCAGTATTTTTCAAATGAAACTACAAAAATTGATTGTTTATGGACTCCATACCAACAACTATTTAGTATTTTATTTACCTGGAAATTCCGGAACCAAATTCTGTTGTCTTCTACAGAGAAAGAGAACACATGATCTACAAAGGGTTTGCTCTTGGGATGATAACAAGGAGTACTAAAAATCTGCACAAAAAACAGAGAAAGAAGTAAGAGTGAGAACAGAACCATTGCACAAATACTGTAAATATTATATAAAGTCTGAACTTCAGCCCACCCAGCCAGAGCTTATTCCAGTGTCTGTCTTTAACATGAAGTGACTCAGAGTCATGGTACTATCCCCCGGATGGGATACCAGAACATTGCACTCCACCCCCTTCCTCAGAAATTCATCATAATTCCCTGAACATTTTCTTTTTATTCCTTTATTTTATGCTACATAATATAATATTGATGTAAGAATTAGTCAAGTAGGTAGTGTCCATAAGTAAGGTTAAGTATCACAAAAAGTGTTAGTAATATTCTAAGTAATATAATAAGTGATGTAACATATTTGTATTATTAGTGATACAACATAATCAGTAGTATTGCAGCTAATGTATTGCAATTAGCAGTATTGTGAGCAAGGTTACTTAATTAGTAGCATAGCTATTAGTATTGTATCCCGGATTATATAATTATTGTAGTGTCCACTTTGTTAATATTGTTTCTGTAAAAAAAAGTGTTGTTTAAATAAAACAACAAAAGCAAAATTATAAATATTGTTACCTACCTGAATGAACATTTCTTTCAAAAGTGAGTGCTGAGGTGTTTTATCAAAATGCTGTTGTGGAGTAAAACCAAAGTGTATGTTATTGTATCAGTAAGAACCGATCATACTCCAGGACACTGGCTCTATGCTGAATGTGTGCATACTTTTAGTACAACTGTATTTGACATGAAAGGTTATCATCAATGCAGAGAACATTTTGAGGGAACAAAATAATAAAAAGGGAATAAAAAGTGAAGCATGAAATCAGGTGCAACAATTTCATGCAAAAATATCTTAAAATGGTGAGAGAGGATCTTTCCACAAACCAGATGACACATCTCTCTGTCCATATTCTGGTTTTGATAAGGCTTGGAAGTAGATTAAAATACATTGCTTCACATGGTAGATGCCAATCCTCTTCCTTGTAAATTTAAAACTATTCTACAGTAGACATTTGCTCTAACCTGATCAAATGATAATATTGGCCTTGATCCTTTCAATGAATTTCCAGTTAATTTAAGTTCATCCATTGTGTGCACTAAACAAGCAGTAAAAAAAAATGGTCAGTTTACTTATTTCAATACATTATGAGTTTGATTTGTTCAGTAGCCCAAATTGTTGATTCCTAAATACTGTAGACAATAGCTCAGCATGTATGCTGGTAACTCATATGTTAACAAATCAAGACAGTATGGAAATAAATTTTTCCAATTTCAGAGCTAAGTTACGGAGCCTGAAGCCTGACTTGTGTAAACATAAGAAAAAAACCTTTCAAAAACATAATTCACCAATCATTACTTGCAGTGCTTGGTGATGAGGATGGTTACTGTATGTTGATGTCTTAATGTTAATCTCAAAAATTACTTATTGTCATTAATCAAACTCTAACTATTATCATTACTTCCTTATTTTTTAAGATCTCTTATGGGCTCTTGCTCTACTCATGAAAATGCTAGCTATTGGTGAATGTATTTGTATACCTATTTATTTTATTTCATCCTACATAGTTATTTTACCTTATTTACTAGTAATCCACTTTGCTAAATTTGATAGTCAGTAACACAACCAACCTGCCTTGATTAGCTTTGCATGAATATGCAGGTTGTGTATTTGCCTACCACAAAAACCCACAGATAAGCCACACCCTGAATTTAATGGCTCAAATTTTGGAAAAAAAGTTTTTTGAAAGAAATCAAAAGAAATCCAAAGCCATGTCTTGAGAAGTCTTCTTTATCCACTGTTCATTGAACATAATCTCACTACTTTAAAGTCTTACCCACAATTTTAGCACTTTAATATAATGAACATCATTTCTACCAACTTTGAAATATGATTGATCTTTTTCTGGTATTTGTTGATAGGAATTTCTTCATTCAACACAGTTTTTCCATAGATTTTTGCATTACAACAAAAATGTGAGCAGATCATTCAAAGCTTAGTAACCAGGCATTAGATTGGACATGAAAATGGAAATGTTCCCGCTGATAAGCCACACCCTAAATTTCTAGTGATGATTTTTGGAAAAAAGGTGTGGTTTATCTGTGGGTTTTTATGGTAATTTATCAAATTTAAACTATTGGAATAAAATGACGAAATGATGAAAATACCAGACATCATGAGTGGCCCCTAGTAGCACTTACCATTTTCAACCAAAAACTTGGCAGATGGCCCATGTGGCGTACAAGAAAACCTTCAATAACAACAAACAAAACAGGCTCAGGGGTGTCCTGCATTTGTAATATTATACACACTAAAATAAATTTCAAGTGAAGGGGAAATAAAATATGAAACCTACCACATATAAAGGTCTTGTCCTTTTCTCATCTCAAAAAAGACACATTTGTTACAGTTTTTCATCTCACAGACCTACAAGTCAAGTTATAGTGTTATTTGTTACTGATATAATATACACTTTTGTTACTTACCACCTTTAATCTCTCTTTAACAATTACTGATGTTTTCTAAAATGCTCAGGGATGACAGGGGCTTCTACACTGTTTACATGAGGTGAAATAAGTGCATTATAGAAGAGAATGAAACTACAATTTATAACCGGATAAAGGTGGGAAATATGGAGAGTTAAATTTCCTTCAAGGAAGAGCTTTATGTTAAACTACTTTACAAAGAGATATTACAAAAACTCCAACAGTCAATCTGATTGGCTGATGGCTGCATATCAATGAGTAAGTGCACTTAATGCTGACAGGTGATAATTAACGTTGAGTGTGATGACAATGAAATGTCACAGGAAAATTGTTTACTAACCTCATTGACAATAAATAGTTTGTCTTTGCGGTCAAGTTTGGTCTCTAGAAGAGATCAACAAAGAGAAAACATAATTGAAGCATTTCAAAGTCTGATTTTGTTTAACTTCTGGTGTTAATCTTGACTTTTCACTCCTGTCTCTCTATAAAACAGGCCTTATAACACTCAACCAGCTCCTTAAGAAGGCACCTGAGGTCACACCAAAAGTAGTCTCATGGGATTTTTTGATGATTCATTATTTAGTTTGTCCTTTGACCTATACATTGGTAATTCAGAGTCGCAACCTATCCCTTTACACCTCAACATCAGTATGCATATTCTCCATACATTTCCTAAGGTGCTGACAAGGAGAATTTGTTTAACAGTCAAGGGTTTCTTTAGTTGGTGATCATTTCCTTTATTCTTGTGACCTTAATGTTTGATTCAGGGATGATATTGTAAGGAGAAATTAGATGCTAGTCATTCATAGGGGTCAGAGAGTTAAATCAGGGCTGCAAGGATTTCGAGCTGTGAAAATGCAAGAGGAGTCATGTTCTTTGAGCTGATTGATCTGTGGTCAGCATGCATGCACCTGAACACAAATTAATCATCAAAAGAAGTATGTATAGGAATTTATCATAAAATCATAAAGATCATATGCATATACCAGATTTTGAGTGGGGTAACAATGTCTGTATATCCAGCATAAGATGCCTTGCTCTGCGAAAATTTAAAGAAGATATACATGGTACATGTAGATATCAGGAATTTGTTACAATACAGAATGAACTTAAAGTCAAAGTAATTATCACATCACTTTTGATATAACTGGAATAAAGTGAAATACATATGAAACAAGTTTACGGAAGTCATCGAAGATATTTAGGCAGACTAGAAATACATTTAATTCAACCATAAAACATTTAGTGAAACACAGATACATCCATGCCATATATAGCCTATCTTCGACAAATGGAACACCATGCAACTCATATAAGCGATAAAGAATATGAAATCAAAGAAAAGAACAACGATCATATTCTCCTGCTTTAAATTCTTGTTATCTTGGCGTCTTCGATCTCACCTGTGTGATATACCACGTGAGCAAAACACCAACACGCGTTGTTTGTTTGTCCATTTTCCCTGTAAATAAACGGCCAAAAGTTTGATTTTATCATACATTAGCAAAGAATAGCTAAATGAGGGTTGGATCTAACCTTTTTCGTTTTCTTTTTCTTCGGCTGTACTCCATTAGTTTCCACTTCTTTGATGGACCTTTTCTTCGCCATTTTGAATTATCGACTTAAGCTTGGTAACCAGGCTTTTGCGACAACTGCTGATTTAGCACTGCTGACCCATAAAGAATGTTATTGACTTTCGAAGAAAGGCACGGAAGGAGGGAAAGATTTTTAGAACGAGGTAAATATCCCTGAACTTCAACTTCTCCTCCGAAAATGAAGCCTTCTGAGACTAAGCTAAGAGGTTAATTTTGTAGTTTGCAGATTAAGTGCTTAAGATACAAGATAAGGACCTGAGAAACTTTGCAAGATTCGAATTCTGTCAGTCGCGGGTTTGTTGATAGCTTCAGTGATTAACCCCAGTTCGCTGAAAATGCAAGATCTGACATTTGAAAATAGTTAATCGTTATTATGCTATTAACCAATATCAACATATTGGGTCAGTAGAAAATAGTAATGATTATTTAAAACTCAATTTGAAAGCAGGGTCCTCTGATGTAGCTCAAAATGTAGTTTTGTGCCCTATCAAATGATTTTTTAATCGTACCTTTAGTTTTAATTATTTTGTTCATGAGAGGAAATTAATTTTCATTCAAATCTCCCTCCATTCTTAGGCAGATTTTGGATTAAGGAGGAAAAGTAAACACAATGGGTTCTATTCTTGGAGGAGCTATGAAAGAGACTATGGATGAAAACATGAAGAAGAATCAGGAATTTATGTTGAAAACTCAACAAATACAGGTAATTTAGCTGCAGAGGGTAGCTCTGTGTGAGACTGAAACTTGGAAATGAAATTGAATTTGAAACCATCACCAGTGATATCATGGTTGAATATAAGAGCCAGAAGCTTTTACAAATTACTGTTAAAACCAGGGTATAAGCCACACCTTTTTTCCAAATTTGAGTTGTCAAACAGAAGGTGAAGCTTATCTGCAAATGTTGCTTATACACCAATGTTTATGATTCTTTGCAGGATTTCGCTGGTTATTTAAGTCATCAAATGAAGATGTACAATAACTGAGATTTTGAATAACAGTAGGACTGTTACAGATACTCAACCCTTTTACCCTCTAAGAGTGACAAGCATCTAATTTCTCCCAACAATATCACCCCTAAATCATGCAGTAAGGTCATGAGAATAAAGAAAATTATCAGCAGCTAAACAAGTTGTTGATTGTTACACAAATTCTCCTTGTCAGCATCCTTGGGAATGTATAGAGAACAGTATGGAGAATACCTTTACTGATGTTAGGGTGTAAAGGATTAAAAGTTTCTTATTTTGGTAACACATCTATTTTTTTCAGCTGGGAAGGCAGCTTCAAATGCAGAATGCTATGAGAGAAAGACAAATGTCCATGCAACTGGCTGGAGCAAGAGAAATGTTTAATTGGTTAGCTACATTCTATGGAATTGCAACAATTGGCATGTTTGCTGGGTAAGTGTTACATAATGCACAGCTGTTCACACAAAGTTTTCCTACTAGAAAGGTTGTGGAACAAGAAAAAAACTTGAACCTAGATCAAGAAGATGTAAAGAAAGAAAAAGTCAGTAATCGTTGTGTGTTTATTATGGTGTCATTTTCATATGATCACATTTGTCCTCTTTTACTTTTTTTGCATAGGTTTATGAAATCCAAAAAGCCAGCTGTTTTAATTCCCTTTCTTCCACTATCCTTTGTTGTGGGTTATCAGGCTGATTATGTTTATGGAGGCAAAGTCAGCAGAATCAGAGGTTAGTGTAAAGGTTTGGTTGAAAATAAGGATAGTTACCATCAAAAGATCTGGTTTATAATAAAGTAGCCTTGAGGCAGTCTTGTCCATTTTCTTTAGTTGAGTGGTAGTCATGCAAATATATATGCCCTCCATGTCTCTTACCTTACTCATGCTCCCCTCTCCTAATGTCAAAAGATCTGCCTTATTATAAAGTAGCCTGTGTAGTAGAGTCTCATTATTTTAGTTACCAGAGTTACGTGAATGTGAGGGATGCTCACACTATTAGCCTAAGGGAACAGTGTCAATTTATTGTAATTAAGCCCCCAAAGGGCATAAAAAAACCTTGTGGTTTTGGTTGACAGTATTTTTGAAAAGAAACTGTGTTGTACAAACCTCAGGAGTTAGTGGAGCCAACCCATGCTCATCTGTGGAATAAAGGCTTCAAAATCCAGTTGAATCTGCATTCCATGGTTTCCTATGAGACCCACTGTTACACCTACATAGCAGTCTTGTCCATTTCCTTTAGCTGGGTAGTAGTCAGGTATTTCAGGTGTATGCCCTTGCTTAACCCAGTTGTTGGGGAGACTCATTCCTTTGGCATGCTCCCCCCATGTAGCTGAAAGAAAATGAAGCACTGCACCATGTACTCGCAGGTTGGAGACTCAGTTGAGTAACTGAATGTCATAGGGACTTAACATAAAGAGAAATGTTTTTAGAGATAGCTTGTTTCATCCCTGGAAGGTGGTCTCATTTCATTTTATAGCTGGTGAAGGTACAGTGCATAGTATAGAGACCTAGAAGTGTTGTGGTCTCTGGTGTATTCATATGAGCTTACTTGTCAGGGTTTATTGATTTTTTTTAACTTTTCGCTTTTGCTTTTTTGCAGAGGAGGCAGAACGTATCATGAAAGAAGAATATTCAATTCTTCAACTCCCTGCTGGGATACCTGATTTCAAATCAATTGAAGAAGCTCGTCTAAAGGCCGAAGGAAAGTCATCTTGAACTTTTCTAGTCATCTGGAACTTTTCTAGTCATCTGAGAAGCTTATATTACATAAAAGACACACCTATGCAATCTATAATCTCTACTATACCTAAGTTAACATCATTATAAAACCCATACGCTTACATAAACATTTTGAATTTATTATTTTGAGAGTATATTGCTTCAAGGGCTAATGCTTAAAATGTCAGCCTTTAAACTCTTTACTGTGGCCAATTTACATCGTCAACTGAGTTGATAACACTACATTACCCTGTTACACTTTCCCACTGACACAGCACCATAGTTTCTTTAGAAACTCACCCCCTTTATTGTTGTTTTATAGTCTCCAAAAAGCTGTATATTGCATGCTTCTTATTGCTCTGTAGGGTTTGAGTAATAAAAGGATTACTCTCTATGACATTTCCCACAAACTTTTAGATGTTTCCCATGAGTAACCATTGAGAAAAAATGAAAAAGGAAAAGATCATGTGCTGCAGGCATATATTTATTTTCTGGTCTCTGAAATATTATGTTTACTCATCTCTATGACTTTCTATGACCCCCCCACTCGAAGTCCATGATTTGTCAGGTCTGGAAAATAACATTTTGGAATTTCATGACTTTCCAAGTGTTCCATGACCTGTACAAACCCAGTAACTGTGAACAAATTACTTACCAAAGAGAAGTGGCTTTTTTTAGCATGATTATTTTGTTCTGAAAGTATACATGTATGTAAGGCTCATATGTGTCAACATTTCACTAATATTAGACAACTTAGGCTCAGAATTTTGTCAGTGGTGTACATGTACCTTGATCTTAGGGCCATAATATATAGCACTCTTCCCTTAAATCAACTGAAAATCATATATAAAAGAAAAAAATTCAGAAATCGTTTGTTTTGTTGATTGTATTTTAATGACAAAAAGGGGGTCATGGTTCTAATTATAGGCTTTGAGCAAAAAGAGCAAAACCAGTGATGTTAAATGCAAATTTTAATTGGTTATACTGCTGCTGTCAAACCTGTTATTACAAGGTAGTAATTTCATGCTTATAAGTAGAATTTATTTCATGAAATTTTATATTATTAACTGTTACAGGGTAGTAGAGATTCATCAGGGCACCAAACTGTATACAGTCATGACAGAGCCACCTTAAACCTTTTTTCCTGGTCCTCCTTACAATAAGATGGTATATGAGATGATATTAGATCCGAGTTTTTGTATCTGAGGAGTCATAAAAGTCCACTTTTCTTATCAGTAAAGCAGTCACTGCATTATTAATTCTAAAAGACAGTCCATATCCAAATTTGAAAGTTCAAGTTATTCTGCTGCACTGAAAATTAACGTAACATACTGCAGCAAAAGTAAACACAACTTGATTATGTGGTGTAAAATACTTTCTAAAATAGCTTTGTTACTGGAACATTTTTTTTAAACATCCTTCCCTTGTGTCTTACTCTGCCTGGCCTGTGAAAATAAGTCGTATAAATTTTAATAGAACACCTTGAAACATGCAACACTACATAAAAAAATACCGTACCAGAGAGATATATAATAGACGTTACTATTTCGTTGATCGTCTACAACCAGAGAGGAGCATGTTCAAAAAGAAAGGACCCCATAAAAGCAGACTTTAAGAAAAATAGATAAAATTAGGCTGACCTTCTAACACATTCCACAAGTGTGTGGGCACTCTTCTTCAACAAAGCTGACAAAACTCCGGTATGTTATGAACCACCGACTGCTGAAGCACTGATGTTTTCTCAACCGACATATAGTTGGATGTACATCCAAGCAATAGGCTGTAAAATTATGTAAAATAGAGTTAGTAAGCAATTCTTAACGCTTCTTCCTTTTTTGGATTAAAATAAGTATATTAACATTAAGTTATAGTAGTTTTTGGTGCCTTTGCTCAGTCTACAAATGATCCTCTGTCGCATAGATGTCTCTGTAATATGATAGTAGTGCCCTTCCACAGTGTATTTTTTCTAAATTTTAGCTTGAATTATTCCTATTTCTCCTAAGTAGACTTAAGTTATAGATATCATGCAGGTTTTCTGTTTGTACTGAGGCTTTTATTACCATAATGTGGCGTCTTAGTTTTTTTTTAACTCTTAAGTTATTTTAGGAAGTCAGTACCTCTTTTTGCTATTTAGTCTAATTAATGAAAAATCCCTTCTTTTATTTTTATTGGGATAGATCAAATAACGTTGTTGTCACCAAACAGTAGTTATCTGGGATTGCTTCATTTTGTTTTGTGACTGGTTCATTATTCATTTGAATTTTTTTCTGATATTTCCATTGGTCAGTTAAGTGTCACCTTGTCAAGTGGTTAGTCTCCAATTTAGGGATATCTTTTTTTAGTCATTTAAAAGAGACGGATATCGTTGATCAATTTTTCACAATTAACTTAGTTTAAACACTCTGGATATCTTCTACTGTGGAAGACTAGATAGGATTGACGACTTATGACATGATACTGAAAAATTACATGTTAGACTATGCAACACATTTACAAGCCGAGAACAGCCTTAGATCCTTTTTGAAGACCATATGTCTGCATATCAGTTGAATCTTACGGCCGGGATGTGACCCTCTACGTCAAAACGAGTCCTATTTCTCGGCAAAGCAAAGCATGCGTGACCTGGTGAAGATCAACCGAGAATCCGTTGAACGAACCACAACTTGAACTTTAAGCGTTGTTTTTAAAAAGCGTCGTGTTTTCTCAGCAACAAAGATGAAATTTTAAAAAATTTCTAGGTTCAGCACAATTTTCTTTTAGCTCTCGCAAAAATCTCTAGATAGCCAAACGTCTACTTTTTCAAATACTTATCTCTGAAGTGGACTGAAAAAGGTACACTTTGTTTTTCATAAACAAGTGTCTGCATCATTGCCAGCCCCTTACTTAAACCTTTAACTCCCAAGATCCGATTGTCAATTCTCCCCTCTAGCTACCACAAATTTCATTGTAAATAAGTTAGGAGAATTTTGTAGTAGATCAAGATAACAACCTCTACCTGATAAGCTTGAGTATTCCCAAGACCTGCTTGCTGGATGTTTAGATATTACGGGGAAAAGTTACATGTTAATCACTTCTACGAAGGTACTGTTGCATTGTTCAATTATTCTGTACTCAGACTTAAAAGTTATCAAGCATGGAATGGGCACTTAAGTCTATTACGGCGGATATGTGGCAAAAAGGGGTACACTTTGTGTTACTATTGGTTATTTCACTTAAAAAAAATTCACCTTTCTTTTTCGTCAACCAACCATCGTCAAATTCTATAGCATCTCCGATATCACGAGGAGTCAGTTCTTCTCGAAACGGTTTGGCCTTTGAAACTGATAAAACTGTGATTAGTCCAAGAGAAAGGATCAAAACCCGAGAGCTCTTCATTTCAATGAAATACTTCTTGGCTGGGAAGTCAGGTAACACTTGAAGTACGAGAATTGGCTGTTTTCCGCTCGTAGGCTGATAGTGAATTGTGGCTCTGTAAGGCTGCCTTTTTATACCAAATCTTGGCGTCCATATTAAGTAACACAAGTTTCAAATATACAGATAAAACGATGACTCCGAGACTAAACCGTTGGAAATTTCAAAAGCTAAGTCACTCAATTGTTTGTTGGTTGAAAGCGTCGTTGATATTAACGCTGATAGATAAGTCACAGATGACAGGGATTCGAGTTTCGCGTCTCAATGCACTTTTTTTTATATCATTTACGTGTCAAAGTTCTTTTTGCATTAACAAGCCACCCTTGACAAAAAACGTGCTCTCCTCAGTTAAGTAGGGTGGTAAAAAATCCATCCAAATTAACTCTATGTTGTTCTCCTTTTAAAAGCTGAAGGTAAAACACTTAATAACAAAGTGCTTAGTAACACACAATTTCAGCACGATGAATGTAATGTCACAGAATTCAGTTTGACATTTTGATCTGGGCTGACCCGCAAAGCTATGAAATCTTCGATATTTTTGTCTGCAATCGCGCATGGCTTTTTTCAAAATGTTTCAAATGCTATCAAAACTTGAGAGCTTGTTTAACGTATCTCGAACAGACGACGTTCTGTTTTTAAACTTAATCCATGTAGTTACCTTGTACCCTTGTTTTACGGGTCTGTCTAAGAAATGTTTTAAAAAAGATATGATGTGCCGATTTCCCAAACATGCAATCCTAGCTAACGTACGAACTTCTAACGGACAACTGATCATCAAACTACTCTTCAATTTTGACCGGGTGCAGTTTTCAGTCAACGAATATCGTAACAGTCGTAACACGCAGCAAACAAGCAGGCAAGGTCACAGTCATATATAAGAGATGTCAACAAATCGTCTATTTTGCGAGTCGTGAACTTCGCACATCGAACTCCTTCGGGTAGCTAGAGTGCCTGCGGGTTAAGGAACGCTTGAAAACAGCGGGTCCATTCATAAACAGTCTAAAGCGCATGTGTCGCTACTAAAAAGCCTTTCCTGTCGCTCTCGGGAAGAGTTTTGACGGGGGAGGTGTGGGGGTCAGGGAGGGTATGGAGAGGGGAGGGTGGGTGGGAGAGAATGTTTCTCACAATCCTTGTTAAATAAGCAGAATTAATTTTTGTTCCTTCGTGTGTCCGTCCCTCAAGTTGGAACAACAGATGTGAAAGGAAAATGGAGGCGAAACAGCGATAGTACACTTAAGGATGGCGGCACCCAAGAAAATTTATTTTGTTTCCTGTATTGAGACGGATAACAGACCACACACTGGCAAGGAACTGAAAATAAAAACATGAAAACAAGCAAAGAAGTGCAGAAAAATAGGGGGTTGAGTAAATCTATAATCAGCATATACCCTTAATGCTTTTAGAATTCTGCTATGGATTAACGCTAATGGAGATATCGCCTTCCAAAGACAAGTAGAATTTTGATGATAATAAAAGTTATGGGAAATGATAAACGCTTCGATTTGAATGACGTCTACAGCTTTAAGAGTCGATACTGTTAGCCAATGCTTAGACAGGTGCACTCTGGGTCTCCAACGGTTTTTAACTAAAGTGCGTTGGTGATTAACTTTTTAGCCTTCGACGAAAATGTGATTTATGTGAGAAAGATGACTTATACTTTGAGCTGTAATTATAAACATTAATTTCCGCGGCAATGCAAGCCGTCATTTCTTAATTGTTTGCAATGTGTTAACACTGATATCTTGATTCAAAGAATAACTGGAACATTACATTAAATGCAGGTGGTTTTCTTTATGCATTACTGAATAAATAATTATGACGAATTGTTTGAATTTTCATTTCAGTCAACACATTTCAGTGGTCGGCCAACTCAATGCAGTTCAAAGTTGATGATTCACGTACAAGCCGAGATTGAGTGGCTCTACTCACTCACCCTTTTCAGTTGAGGAAAATGTCAAAAAGTTTAATTTCTGTGGCGTTTTTAATATTTCAAGCATCTTTTTCGTTTGTTGCTAGCGATGAAGTCAAGAAAAGCAGGTGAGATGTCCCACGGTATGTCAAACGCAACTGAATCAAAGTTATTTTCTCAAATCTACTTTTCGAGTCGTAGGAAAGTTTTTTTTTCCAAAGATTTAACTAGAAGTGTTTGAAAGGAATGATGCAATAACATTAGACTCATACCAAGACCAAGTGTCTTAAACTTAAACAAAAAATTGAAAATTTGACGCTATGTTTATTGGGAAATCTGGAAGAGAATTAATTCCCAAATGAACCTCTCAAGTATGACTCTGAGACCAGCATCTCATATAAACCCTAAATGCCTCGAGTTCTAACAGTTTAATCGTGATCACAAATTATTTCGAGAAGAAATTGTTTTTCTGGAGAACGAAATGTAATTTCATTTTTTAAAGCCACTCATTTGTCATGTTCTTTCTTGATATTAGCGCTTCCTCTCCCTTTAAACACCACTTATCATGTTAATCGCCACCTTTATCAAATTCATGAACAACAGCGTGTTGGATGATTTCTGAAAATTTAGGACGCAAGTCATTTACACCTCAACATAAAAATACACTTTGTTTTGATGATATCAGCACGATTGTTGATGTTTCGAAGCAAACATGGCCTCTGTCTTTAGTGAAATAAGCTAATTTGGTTTGATCAACTGAGTTGATAATGTGAATTGGCCATCGCAGAGAGTTTTAGAGCTGACGTTTCGAGTATTAGCCCCTCGTTTTGGGGGGGGGGGGAGATACAGGCTAAGTCCTACTATAACGTACGGCTTTTTAAACCACCATCCCTTTCTCAAATTGTGCGTTTAAATTATAGATCAAGCGAAGCAGAAGAGCTTTTTCGCCACAGGATTGAGGCGCCCAACAAAACAGACATATTTGCTAAACTCTTCAAAGGATATGACAATAGAGTTAGGCCCAACTACAGAGGTGGGTGCATAAATATTGACGGAGGACTTATGTCGCAGATTCGAAGATCAATAAAGACCAATAACAAGAAGGAAAAAAATTACATTAATTACTAACCAGTGATAAGTGCCCGTTTTTGATATAGTTTCGTTTTTCCCTCTCTCTTACGTCGGATCTCGCAGCTCATTCAATTGCAACGCGTCAGAATTTTGTCACATGAGATCTAATTCTTCCTCAACGCGAGAATCTTCTTGAGCTTTTGTTTTCAGTTTTATCTAACTCAGTGTAACCGTTTTAAGGACACGCTTTTGAGAATTTGATATGCATACATAATTGTCATGATTTACAGAATTTGAAGCCAAACTGAGTAAACTAAGAGGATACTTAGATTTTTAGTTTTCTAAGTTTGGCAGTCTCTTTTTACTGATACTGTTTATTTAACGTCTTCCCTTTCTTTTGGCATTTTTTATTTCAGAGAAACCAGTCCAAGTTTTACTCTATGCTGTCATTGACTCGTTTCACGATATCAGAGAAGATCAAATGGTATCCATATAAAAATATATATTTATTTCTTTAGAAAAATTTAATAAGTATGGCAAAAGTAAAACTGACATAGATATATTTTTCAATAACATTTTTTAATTTACTTTCATAAAATGTGCTATTATTGAAGATATTTCTCAGATAAACAAAAGCAAAGTATTTTGGATCGGAAGCCCTGAGAGGGGATTTTGTTTTAGAGAAAGCACGTTTCGAATGAAATCAGAGAAATTACAACAGCCAATCAGAACTTAAGTGAATATGAAAGGGATTCAAAGCAAGCAAACTGCTTGAGGCGCGGGAAAACGCACGTGACCAAGTTGTTATTAGCTTAGACCAGTTTCCAATCGAGTGTCAGAAAAACCAAAACCAAGGTAATCATCACCATTAGCCAATGAAAACTGAAAGTGAAAACGAGCAAACTGATTGAAGCGCGGGAAAACGCTGATGATCAAGTCGCGATTGTTCGTAGTCTTCATCTTCAGAGGATAGTCGGAGTTTTCTGAACCAATCACAGAGCAAAGTTAAGTAAAACTAAAGCAATCACGTATTACTTTCGACACTCAATTGAAAATTGCTCTGAGGGTTGCATCTGATTGGTTGATATGCCGGATCGAACTTTATTTCTAACCAATCACCGAGCAAAGTAACAAAAAAGAAATGCAGTGCACCAAGAGATTTTTATATTCTCTTGAGTCCACGTTGTGAGCAACTTTCGGCTCTTTATTGAAAATAGTTCTAAAGTTAGATCAGTTCTGTGTAGAGGGAAAGCATCAGTTATCACTGTAAGGCAAGGAAAAGGACTCCAGCATTTAACTTATTACCTTATGTCATTACTTCAAAAGGAATACAAAGTTGAGTTAATATTAAAAGAAACGTGGAAGGACCCAAGACTTGCATATGGCAACGCAACGTGGTTCGTCCGACTTAAAAATGAGTTATTAAAGAAAATTTGGTATCCTGATACAATGATTGAGAACGCCAGAAAACACGATGTTGACGATAAAACAAGGACAGCATACCTGTTTGGTGATGGGACGATATTTTTCTCGGAATGGTTTGTATGATTGAGTCATCATTGAATTGTATTTCACAGAGTTCAGTATGGTGATGATGGTATACTTATGAAGATGATAGTCGTAGGAACGATGAAAATTCTGGTTGTGACTTTTCACTCTTTATACCCTTTACATCAGTATGCATATCCTAAACACTGTCTGACGTATCCTCCACACTGTTCTCTATACGTTTCCTTTCATATGCTTCCTTATAGATTTTTAGATGGCCACAAGCTGAGGGAGTAGAAAAAAACTTTGTTTTACTCTTGGAGCTCAGTAACTCGCCCAAATACGTAAGAAGCTAAGTTCCTCGTACTGCATTCTTTGTGTCACAAAAGACAATCTATTCTGTTTCGTGTTTCATTTTATCTAATTTTCAAGGATTAAGGCAACTTTAACAAGTCACATGGATTTTAAGAGCTACCCAATGGATGTTCAGACGTTGAGGGTACAGTTTGCTGCTTGTATGTATGAAAACATTCTGTTCAATAATGCAACCAAGAGGTGATTCTCTAACTTTAATTTTTGGCTTAGAAAAATTTAAGAGACAGATTAAGCCCCTTGGAATGACGTATGATTTTAAAGAAAAGTTTATTCAAATTTTCTTTTAACTTAAATTGAACCATAAGTTTTATGTTGCACCATGGCTTATGCACTTTGCACGTGGATAACTTAAACAATGCATCTGATGCATTTCATTGGCTCCATTTTAGATATCACTAATCTATAACCAACAAGAACAAGTAATTCCTGAGGAAACCCTAAGGTGATCACTTCGCCTCTCGCTCTAAAACAATGTTGTTTTCCATAAAAAATGATGATTTGTGTTTCTTGGTAAATTTAACTCTTTCAGACAGTTACGATGATAGTCAAGTTCAGTATGAATGGATAAAAGTATCTCTGAAGGAACATGACATGACAGAGTTTTACGTGGAAAAACAAATCCTCAGATTGGAATCAACGTCATCTATTACAGGTAGTTCAGGTATTTATTGCTTAATCATAAGATAAGACTGGAAATTTATCCAAGGTATTTATCAAGTGTGATGATTTTGATACTGATTTTGACAAGAACAGTGACAACGGCAATGGTAGTGATAATCGTTATGATAATGGCCTAGGTAACGATAACGATGACGATAACGATAACAGTTTTTGTAACGATAACGTTAACGATTACTATAACGATAACGGTCATTATAACGATGAAGATAACGATAACGATTACTAAAAAGATGACGATAACGATTACTATAACGATGACGGTGATACTGAAAATGATAATGACGATGATGACGATGATGATGGTGATAATGAGAATAACGATGATAGTGATGTTAATGGTAATGAAATTGAAAGTGATGATGATAATGATGCTGGTAATAGCGATGGTAATGGCAATTGTGGTGATAATTTTATCTTTTAATAAAAATACGAAAACATCTCAGAATGGCTGAAGAAATTCATTTAATCTCTGATACACAGATTGCTGAAGCACTTAACAGACAACTGTAAAACGGTACTGAAAATTTTGACAGATGAAATCATGAAAATCACTGGGTTGTTTGAACTTTCTAGGAACACATACAGCAGCTGTGGTCGAGTTTAAGATAAAACGTCGCTTACAGCACTTCATCGTTGGCTTTTACGTCCCTTGCATCGCATGCACAGTAGCCTCTTGGATCCAGTTTTGGATGGATGAAATGGCCGTCGGTGACAGAGCAAGTCTGGGAATAACTTCAGTGTTGACGGAGATCTTTCTACTGGAGTTTAGTAATCAAGGGATGCCTAAAGTCAGTTACATGAAAGTTGCTGAGCTATACCTTATCGTGTCGTTTGTGTTCATCTTCTTGGCCCTGATTGAGTCTGCAGTGGTGTACAAGGTCAGTCAGTGGTCACTCCTAAAAAAGAACAGTGGAAAGATGACGGAAAAAGAGGCTAGTAGAGATAAGGTATTCTGGCCCAATGGTCGATCCAGGGTCTGGGGGGTTTGGCTTACCCCTGGGGTCGGTGGGTCTCGAACTGATTCATATTTTGGTCGTTCACTTTTCATTTCGTACCCATTCTCTTCTTTCATTCGTTCGTTTGTCGCATCATCATCCTTTCAAATACTTTGTAATATAAATTTATTTTTTAATCTTTTTTCATCCATCTATACGGTTTCTAATGCAAACAGGGATACCAGCCTCTAGAAATCTGAGTTTTGAAGACATTTGGTTTTAATTGGATCTCCCTTCTCATCTTAGTGAGTTCTTCAAATCGACTCTTTCGCCCCAGTCTTCCCTACAACCCGGTAATCGCTAAAATCACACGATGTTATCTAAAGTCGAAAAATGATCGAAAAAAGGCACATAAACACAACCATCGTTAAGTCCTTGTACAGACAATCCAATGATCTTTTGTAATGAAGTAGACATTTCTTGATTTGCCATCTTAAAAGAGAACGTATGCAAATAATTTCATGGTCTCTCACATTAGTTTAACATCTCTCAAAACTCTTTTTTTTCAGAGTCTTACTTCACAGACACCAACAGGAAAAGAATTTTATAAAGAAACCGAAACCCCCAAACCCGAAACACTGACGTCTTGTAGATCACCAATGATGTTAAGATACAGCGCTCTCAACTTTGAGCAAACAGTGAATAAATCATCGGAGCACATCCTTTCTGAAGAAGAGAGATACGAAGGGACAGACTCCCCTAAAATCTCGACGACTTCAGCGGGAACTGAAGCCAAGGAAAGCTGGGGCCATGCGATTGACCGGGGGGCGCGTGCCTTATTTCCGCTCTCTTACCTCATCTTCTCAGTCATGTATTTTGGTGTCATGTTTACTTCTGATGAGGGATCCAAATGACATCTCCATTCGTTTGACTTTCCAGTCACTCGAATAGGAAAACAATGGAAAACGACTAATCAAGTGAATCTTTAGATTATTTTATAGCTAAAACTACTTCGAGCCAATTCAGCCCTCTTAAATTTCAATCTTACCGGATGTCAAAAGTTTCAGCTTACATGTGTCAGTTAAGTAAGGTTGAAAGCAACACTACAATTGTTAATGATTTTTATTTGCCGTCACACCAAGAATATCAGATATTTTTAAAATGATGTTTTTGGAGGTTGTCTGACAAGAACTGAAGGTTTGAGTCAGGTGAATTCCAGGAGAAAGTTGAATATTTGCTATAGATCTTTCGACCCTTTGACTAGCATCTAATTTCTCCTTACAATATCAACCTAGAATCACACAATAAGGTTACGAGAATAGGAACATGATCACCACCTTGAGTAGTTATCGATTGTTTTATAAATTCTCCTTGTCAGCACCCTAGGGATTGTATAGAGAAATGTATGGAGAATGCGCATACTGATGTAACGGTGTTAAATTTAATTCTCCTGATGGTAAACATTTGCCATTTTAGTAAGCATTGATTTTATTTTAAAAAAATAATTAAAAAAATTAAAAAAAAAAACCACATTAAGTTGGGAAAGCGAACAGTTTGTCAGACCAGTGAATGATTATAAAGAAACAAAGATCTGCAAGCTTAGCTGTGATGACGACTTCATTTGACGCTTAACTTGCGTAGTTGTCTCCAATCGCTCAGCTTGTTTGCAGTAGCTCAGCATATGCTCGTGCTGAAACTTCAATTCTTCCCTTAAACTACCGCAAACACTTTAAATTCGACGAATGATCATTTTATACTCTCTTCAGATTGTTTTTTAAGTAAAACTGCAAATTATCGACCAGGCAATCACACATAAGGTGTTACTTCCATCCAGTCAGCACAATTTGAAGGGTCACCTGGGATGAAGATGATTCCTTCTAATGCACTGCATATCCTTACGGCGCATTATGTGCAAAAATACACAAAGTGACAAAACGGCGCGTTTCAAAATGGCCGAAGGCGCGTCGGTTAACTCTTCAACACTTAATAGTGACTAACATCTAACTTCTCCCAACAACATCACACTTGAATCAAACATTAAGGTCATGAGAAAAAAGGAGATGATCATCTTCTAGAGAAGCTCTCGATAGTTGAACAAATTCTCCTTGTCAGATCCCTAGGAAATGTCTAGGGAGTAGTATGGAGAATATGCATACTGATGTTAGGGAGTAAAGGGTTAAGTATGTTGCAACGTTTTTCCTAAACGTGCATGCTTAGAGTCCGTGTAAACGCGGGAAATTTGGAGAACACAGGAAAAGCGTAGGAGCTGCTCGAAGCACAGCAGGGCTTAGGATTGGGGATTATGGATTCGAGACTCGGGACACAGGATACGAGATATGGGATAGGGGATTTGGAATAGGGGATATGAATGTGTGTTACGGGATTCAGGATTTTGGATTCCGGATTCGGGACTCGGCAGTCGGAAGTCAAGTCTGAATCAATTCACTGCTATTTTATTAAATCACACCAGCTGTTAGACTTCACTAGCACCAGACTGTAGAAATTGGAAGATGCTTCAAATACAAATGTACAAAAATCCGTGCTGCCTCATGGCCAATTATTGTAATAATATTGATTATGTACACTAAACAAACGTAAGAAAAAAGTTTTAAATGGTTTTCCCCCAAACCACTTCCAGAGAATCATAAGTTTTCCAAATAAAATAAACACAGTACAATCAATTATTAATATGATTCATAACTTAAGGGAGTTAAGAGATTTATGTATGTTTTTACTGTGCTTTGCATGATCCAAGACTTGGTCTTTTCAGGATGGATTTTCTTCTGCTAGGAGTGGCAGGTGATCTGACACTATCTAATGAATCATCTGTTGGGAAAAAAATTATGAATAACACATAATTAATTACTCTCAGTGTGCACGTTCCTGAAATCAACAGATACATCACAAATCATCTATTTCATGTGACTCTAATAATTCTTTCCTCCTCTTAAAAAATTCCTAAACAATGTAATGTAAGAAGGTCCATGATCTTGACGGATCAATATCAGTATCTAAGCAACTGCACAACTACCCCTCCCCTAACCCAACTTTAACCTTACCTTGCTATCAGTGGACTGTTGTTGGGCTAGGGGAGGGGTAAGTGTGGAGTTGCTCACATACTGAAATTGATCCCTTTTGACAATATTGTTTATGATAACAGACATGTAAGGCAAGTTGTAACATTAATCATCCAAAGAAGGCAGGGGAAGCACTCACATCAGATTTTATAGGAGTATATTTACTTAAAGGAAAATCGATTAAGGATTTACCCATTTAATAATATACCACTCGATACTTGTTCACTAACCTGCCGAGTAAGATTCCTCAATGTGACTGTATTCTTGAGGACCTTCCTCATCTAGAGTTGGATTGTGTAGATCATCAAGGTAAGGAACTACACTCATGCTGCGCAACATGTCACCTTCCTCAGTGGGTGGGATGGGTACCCTGTAGTTTGTCTTCCAGTGATTTTTACAAACCCATCTGATTTTAATAATAATAATGATAATAATGAAAAATGGACTAAAATTAGGTAGGTTGTTGCCATGATCTGCATGAACCTGTTACATATGAAGGAAATAATTCCTCACAGAAGAAAAACAAGTTTTGGGCACACAGAATTATCAGTAAATTAGTTGAGAGGGTGGTGTGAATTTTCTGAATAAATCAAAAGGAAAAGAAAAACAATGAAAGTCCAGATTACTTTTGACACTCAATTGCAAATTGCACAAATTAGAAAAGCATTTGCAAATCAAACCAAAATCTCCATGTAAGTGCAATTCCTTGATAGATGAAATATTCTATCCTTTTAACAGCCACAGTCAGCTCTTTAAAAACTTATTAATGAAAATGTGTCTTAATTCTACACCATTTCTCATACAAGATTTAATTTCATCTCAATGAAAAAATAATGCGATACTTTCTTTAATCTACTATTACCTGTGTTTTCTTATCTCCTGAATAGTAAATCTGTTGCAAGGATTTGCATTCAGCATCCCTAAGAGGAAAAAAAAGGACAATGTAATTGTGATATTATAATCATATTGTATATCTGGTGTAAGTGAACTTATATTTCTCTGGCTTATAGTCTGCAGTGCAGTCATATCATTAAGACAAGTTAATGTTACAAGATTA